TTTGAGTAGTAAGAATATATAGCACCTCAAAGCTGTGCAGTTGGGTTGCTGAAACCAGGGAAATCAAATAAAGGGAACATTCAAAGACTGTTCCATTCTGTGTACCTATATTTGGGTTCTAAATACATTCAGTTAAGAAAAATTTGTTGTTTTTTTTTAAATTAAAAAAAATCCATTCTTGAAGAACCTAAAAATGCCAAAAGACAACATGAAAAACACCCCGCCTTATCCTTCCATGTTGAGATAACGTCATCATATGCCAGGCAGAGGGAACATCTTGTGTGTGTTATAACATCCCAATGCTGTTTATTTTACCTTCTTTCTTTATTCAAAAAAATACAGCGCACATATTTTCTATCAGTAAATGTTCATGCAATGTCAATTTTAAGTGGCTGATGAGTATCGCCTTTCAGGGATATGCCATAAATTATTAATCATTCAGGTCACTACCTTTCAAAACTCCAAAAAAAGCAAATTTAGTTAATTTTCTTCTTCTTCTTTTTTTTTTAAACAGCTGATGTTCTCGAAAACACCATGCCCTTGTCCCTTGTCTCTTTTGCAAGGGAGTGTGAGTCACAGTGCTCCATGGTGTTAGTATGCAATTTGTGCTGGATGTGGATTTATTGTGACTCCATCTCCCCACCTCATGTTTCTCTTTATGGCAGTGACCTCTTGTTTTGCACAGGAGACTCCATCCTGTGGTTATGAAAACAAGCACTGCTCACGACTGTTTCCTGAGTGCGTTGCTCACATGTGCTCATTCTCTCTTCCTGTCTCCAAGAAACACCACGGTAAACAGAGTTCTCTGAACACCTACTGATTGACAATGCGGTGTATTTTTATTTAAAATGACTGTTCACTTGCTACTTTGAAACACTGTAACCTTGACCTTTGTATTCCGGAATGTTTTAGCATTCTCTTAAATGGCAGGCAATATGAAAGAAATGACCTTGTCCTTGAAGTTGCTTCTGAATAAGTGTAGGGTAATACAATGTAAGTAGTAATGTACCTATGTATATTGAAATGCACTGGAGCATGGGATTTAGCAGTATGCGGGCTTCTGGTGCTGCTCCTGTCTCTTCTGGTCTGATCCTGCCAATGGGAGACGTTTCAAAGGGAATGTTATAGAGCTCCAAGAACTGTTTTTGGACTTTCTTATTATTTTAGGTGTCAAAATAAGTCTTGCATCTTGGTCAAATTTTTGGTTGTTGCATTGTGAAAATGATCATTAGAATCCTAGTTAGATTAATGCAGAGAAGTGCACCTTGGTCATTCTCGTCTGGGTGTCCCCTGAAAATAGGAGCCTGACAGGGTTCAGGGTGTGAAGATACCATCCACTGTCCTGAGGAACCACTCTAGGCCGACTTGGGCCCAGTAGGTAGAAGGGCTACAGCAAGGTAAACAGAGTTCTCTGAACACCTACTGATTGACAATGCGGTGTATTTTTGTCCAGACTTCTGAAAGTGACCATAGCCAGAGAGACCTGAAAAGCTAGCTGGCACCTCATCAAGCTGTTTTTCCACACATGGCCACCTCTTGAATTTTGATGGTCCCTATTGTTTAGTTTAGCCAAGACGTAGGTACCAATGCCCAGAGTAAGTGTTTAGAAATTTCTGCATCAATTTGACATTGCAGCCACATCCAGGTGTGTGATCAGTGGATTTGTTTGAACAGGGTAGAGATGCATTTGGATTTTGTGGCACTCGTGTGCGAGAAAGTCCATACCTGGTCCCATCTGTGACTGAGTCATGTGCAGTGGGACCACGCAGTAAATGAAAAACACAGCAAAGCCGGTTTGTCATGCAGCGCAATAGTTTGGGAAGCACTACTCCAGACCAACAAGAAATAGTTGGGGGTGCCAGGGAAATAGCTCAATTGTATTGTTTGCCTCTCATGCACAAGGCCCTGGGTTCAATCCCCAGCACCACCACAAAAAAAAAAAAAAATCAGTTTCACTTCAGACCTTTTTCACTGTGTGGCCTCCCTCCCTTTGTCCCCTTTCCCACTTCTCAGCTTGATGTTGCTCCTTTCATTGACATTATTTTTCTGTATGCATTTTACATGACCCTATACACATTTTTATACGATTATGCACACTTAAGTTCATCACTTAAAATAACGTTATTGTACTCTATTGTTTTAACACCATAGTATCTTAGCCCCTCTATCTGGGACCATTGTTACCTTTTCTTTTTAAGAAATAGTGCAGCTGTGAATATTTTTGTACAAATTAGCATTTTTCCCATTTTTTTTTTGTTCCTGACATTTGTACCCAAAGAGATATACTGCATCAGAGGGTCAGATTTCTTGTTCTCTAGAAAAATCTGAACTGATTTATATTGTGGGAGTACATTTTCAGGTCTTCTCTGTGATTTTAGGCTGTGCAATTTTAATTTTTGCTGGTTTAGTAAGCATATATATGTGCCTCAATATTGTTTTAATATGCTTATTTCAGGAGGTTGTGAGGAAGTGATGATTTGATTTTTGTATTTTGGCACAAAATCAAATGTGTGAAAATCTCTTATCAAGGTGAACTTGAATGTTGATGTCTTGTAATTTTATCAGGTCTTACATAGTTTGGATATGAGCTTCTGGTCATGATAGATTACATCTTTCCCCTTTCTGCTATTGTTTTCTGTTTGTTCCATGACATTTTTAGTGTAAAACTCTTTTATTAGTATTTACATTTTAATACTGAGTTATGTCATCTCTGATGATATCCTTTATTCTTGGCCAGAAATTATTTTCTACTTCAGAAGTGGAATAAAAAGGGTATTCTGTTATTTTCTAGGCTGTATTTTTAATTTTTTTTTTTTTTTACTTTTGAAGTGCTGGGGCTGGAGTCTAGGGCCCTGTGCACACTGAGCATGTGCTTTACTACTGAGCCATACCGGCCCCCTTCTGTCAATTTTTATTAGTGATATTTCTCCCTTTTGTTTCTTACAGTTTGACATATATTAAGCAATTATCACAAAATATATCTATTTCTGGATTTTATATTTTATGCTATCATTTATTTTAAAAATCAACTTAATATGTATTTCATTTATAATCTGTTTTATGTTTATTTTATCATTTTGTGGTACTGGTGATTGATCCCAGGGTCTTGTGCTTGCTGAACACTTGTTCTATCTTGCGCTATACCCTCAGCTATGATGCAGTGTATTTTTTGGTAAGGTTTATGACTATGACAGAGAACATGTTTATTTTTAAAAAAAACTTTTGAAAACACCTAATCAAATGTAATATGTTGTCTTTTGTTAAATGACTTTCTAATTTTATCTAAATGATCTCATTTAAGAGGAAAATCTAGAAGCACATGCTATATAATAGTTTATGGGTTTTATTGCATACTATTTTGCAGACAAGTTTTAAAAATCCATTTGCAAGTGTTTGTTACTAGTATATAAAATAGCCATTTACTGTTATCAGTTAAGTCATATCCTATGACCTTGCTAAATTCACTTATTTCTTCATAATCTTTATATCTTTTATCTCTGTCTTTACTCTTATTTGCCTTTTTTCAATCTACATGCTACAGTAACAGGCACATAGTTGAGCTAATGCTGTTACAATGTTCTTGTTGTGACAGGACTCCTCCATAGCCTGGTTTATAAACCACAGATACAGTGGTGGAGATTTTCATTATTAGAAACTTAAAAAAAAATTAATCCTGAGTTATTGGAACTTTAAAGATTGCTTTTTATATATTTGCAATGAGCATTAACATCTGTTTTGATATTATCATTTGTATTCTACTGAAATGCAGTATAAGGAATTTTGATAGGTCGTTTGACAGGTGTTTCAGAAGTCCGTTTTTTGTTATCGGAGGGGTGAGATTAACAGAAGCTTAATGAAATCCACTTCCTTGGAGGAAAGGTGTCTGCTTTCATAGCTTGTGTTTATAGAGAAGAATGCTAAGCAAAGTGAAAAGAAAAAAAAAGAGAGAGAAAGATGAAGTTGAGATTGAGAATTAAGTATCAAAATGTGAACAGTATCTTTGCTCGTTTTAGTATTGTGTCTTTAATTCAATAAAGGTGTGTGCTTTGAAATGAGAGAAAAACATAGATTCAAATCTAACCCTGACAATTCCAAGCTGTGTGAGCTTGGGAAAGTGATTTATCCAGAGCGTGTTTTGTTTGTTTGTTTGTTTGTTTTTAAACTATAAAGATGAAAATACTTATAAGCAGCTTGCAGTGGTTAGTATTAGAAATAATATACCAAATGAAGCTGGCACATATTGCGCACCTAGTAAACCTAGCTAGGATTATTATAGGACTCTACCCTTTATTATTTACTTTTCAAGTTATTTATTTATTAAATTGTTATAATTTTATTCATATTTATTTATTCATGTGTACACAAATGAAGGAAGCAATATCTTTGAAGAACCCTGTCCTGCTAAAAATATCTAATACTTTGTGTTCCTGGACACTTGCACTGATGAATGTGGAGGAAAGTGATTAAAATATGACAGTGACTGGGGCTGGGGATGGTGGCTCAAGCGGTAGCGCGCTCGCCTGGCATGCGTGCAGCCTGGGTTCGATCCTCAGCACCACATACAAAGAAAGATGTTGTGTCCGCCAAAAACTAAAAAATAAATATTAAAGAATTCTGTCTCTCTTCTCTCTCTTTTAAAAAAAAAAACTTTAAAATATGACAGTGACAATGATGTCAGACCCTTTGCCAAATTTCTTTCCCTTCCTCTCCTTACCCCCTTTTGAAGAGTCAGACAAGCCTGTTATTTTCCAGGGTTTCTGAGGCTCTCACCTGACTGTGAAGGTTGTCTGCATTTGCTAAATGGAGGGCTCAGCTGTCCAGGAACACCCGCCACTCAGGGCTGGACTGTGAGTCATTGGGGGTCACTGCAGATCACTGCAAGAGCCAAGGGGACGTTCAGCAGGCTTTGTCTCCAAGATTTATCTCTCTTTCCCTTCCCTTTTTCTGACTTCTTGGCCAGGCATCCTTGGCTAATGTTATATCCTGTCTCTTTCTTCTAGAACTCTGAAGGTGGACTCTATGTATGCATGAATACATTCTTGGCCTTTGGAAGGGAACATGTTGAAAGACATTTTCGAAAAACTGGACAGAGTGTGTACATGCACCTGAAAAGACATGTGCGAGAGGTGAGATGAACATTTTTGGAGAACTTGATTTAATATCTTCCCTGCAGCATTGTCTTAGCATGTTTTATCATACAGAGAGTTTACTATGCCTGCATAAATTCTGATTCTCCTGGATGATGGAATTAAAAACTGTACTGTTTGTAGAAATGCATGGATTGTCCCCAAACCTAATCTTAACCAGTTTTCTTTTCTTCCTCTAGAGCTCTGATTGGAGTTGTCTTAACATGAGTTAAGACAAGGATTAACTGGGTAGAAAAAATAAATTTAAGTTTAACTGGGTACGGTGACACATTGCCTCTAATCCCAGTGACTCAGGAGGCTTCGAGTTTGAGACCGGCCTTAGCAACGAGGCTGTAAGCAACTTAGTGAGGCCCTGCCTCAAAATAAAAAATAAAAAGCGTTGGGGATGTGGCTCAGTGGTAAAGTGCCTTTGGGTTAAATCCTCAGTGCTAAAAATATATAAATAAAAATAAATTTAAAAATGTAGAAAAGTATAGAAAATAATGCCGGAGATACTCATCATAGACCTCAAAGTCAGAACTGAAAACATTAAATGCTGTTGCTTCAGAATAGTCTTTTCCTCCTTTTTTTAAAAAATTTATTTTTTATTGATGGATTATAACTATTCCATAATAGTGGGATCATTATACTTTTTTTCCTTTTTTTTTTTTTAATTGATAGGAATGTAGCTTTCCTTCCCTCCTAGGTGAAAGAATCACACCATTACTGTGAATCACTTTTTCTCATTCTCATACATGTCATTATATTTTATTTAAATATGTGTATTCACGAACAATGCATGGTATAACTTCATGTATTTAAAGATGTAGATACATGTGATCACACTTCTACTTATATTTCTGTGTAGTTTTCCCTCTCAATGTTGTTTTGGAATCTATCCATGTTGAATTGCATCTGGATATACTTAGTTATTTTAGTAGTTATTTGGTATTCCATCTTATGAGTACCTTGTAATTTCTACTAGTCTCATTGATAAAGTTAAATAGTTTCTTTCTTTCTTTCTTTCCTATTATAAACAATGCAATAATATATACACTTCTCCTGGGGGTACACATGCAAGATTTCTTTAGGAAATATATCTTAGAAATGGTATTGCTGACTTATGAGTGCATTTATCTTTATTTTTATTAGATGAAGATAAATGCCTCCCTAGAGTGATTACACCAACTTGTTCCCCTGTCTGCAGTGATTTTGAATTACTGTTTTCCCATACGCTCACCAGCCCTTAGCCAGACTTTTTTTTTAATCATTATTTTTAAAATATTTATTTAGTTGTAGGTGGACACAACACCTCTATTTCATTTCCATGTGATGCTGAGAATTGAATTCAGTTCTCCACGCATGCTAGGCAAGCGCCCCACCCTTGAGCAATAACCCCAGCCCTTAGCCAGACTTTTGATTTTTGCCAGTCTATTGGTTATGAATTGACACCTAAATATTTATCATTTCCTTTTTTGGGGGTTGAACACCTTTTTGTGTATTTATTGTCCATTTTATTGTTTTCTTTCTTTCCTGATTTGCCTATTTATGTTTTTTTGCCTCTTTCTTTGTGGTTTATCTTTTTCTTTGTAAGTTTAATGAACTCTTTTTTCATTCTGGGTACCAAATCTTTGCCTGTTATATGCAAAATTTTCTTATGGTCTGTGTTTTATCTTTTGTCTTTTGACTTTTTTTTTTTTTAATGGTAAGTGGTAGATACCCACGTATTTTTTTTTTCTACATTTTTTTATTGGCACATTGTAGCTGTACATAATGATGGGATTTGTTGTTACATATTCATATGTGCACACAATATAACGAAATAATTTGGCTGATAGTCTTTTCACATTTTTTATGAAAACAATTTGTGGAGTTTTAAATTAAATTGTAGTTAGGTTTACTAAACTTTTTTTCCTATAAGTTATGCCTTTTGTATCTTTCTAAAAAACTGTTTCAGAACTGAAGGTCATAAATATATTTCTTCTAGTAGTTTGATTTTTAAAGCAAGTATATGCATATATGTATGAGAATGTTCTAAAATTTTAAGTTTTGAAATTTTGTATAATTTATTTTCATATTTGTATAAAGTAATCTATTTTTTTCTATGTCGATAACTGGCTGTCCCACTACTAATAAAGTATTGCTTTTCAGAATGGTTGATTCATGGTGCCATCTTTTTTTTTTTTTTTACTGTAGATGACAAGATACCTTGATTTTATGTGGTACTGAGGATCGAACCCAGTGCCTCACACATGCTAGGCAAACGCTCTGCCACTGAGCTCTAGCCCCAGCCATCTTTTTTATATTGTAGCTTGACATTCATACTGTGGTCATATTGGGACTCTTGCTTGTGTTCTATCTTATTCGTCTCAGCATATCTGGTAGCGCGAGCACTCTTTACATGTTTGTTTTCTCCCCAGAACTTTGTTGGGTATTTTTGAACATTTATTTTTCTAAAATGGACTTTGGAATCAGTTCATCTGGGTAAAAAAAGTCCTATTGTGATTTCGATCACATTCACATTAACTTCATAGAGCAACCTATAATCCACATTGCAAGGATTATTGCTGGGAGTTTCATGAGGGCCTGGACTTTGTCTGCTTTGTTCATTTCTGTGTGTTAGCATGAATAGTTCTTAGCATATAGTAGGTGTTTCACAAATATTTATTGAATGGCCATTTGACTTGACTTTTCTCTATTCAGGTCGTTTATTTTGCTCAATAATATTTTGTAATTTTTGGTAAAGGGACTTATATTTTGTTAGTTTTTTAGGAAACTTATAATTTTTTTTACTAACGTGACCGCTGTCTTTTATTTCTTACAAGTTTCGTTACTTATTAATTTTACAAGTTTCGTTACTTATTGATGTTGTGTTATATAATTGGTTAATGATTGGGTATGTTATTATTTCAAGTGCCCATTTTATTAGTCCTAATAGTTTGTAGACTATCTTTCATCTTCTAGTCAATTTTGATTTGAATTTTATTTAGTCTCTCACCTTTGCCTACCTAATATGTTCTTGGTTTAACAGAAAGACCAGGAGGTCAGATAAGTCACACATTCAAAGATTAGCTTTAAAATAATTTAATTTGGGCCTGACATATGAGATTTACATTCACTACTACTGTTGGGTCCTAAATTGCACTTCTTTTTTTTTGGGCATGGGAGTTTTGCTGGTATGGAGTTTGAACTCAGGGGCACTCTACCACTGGGCCACATGCCCAGCCCTGGTTTCTATTTTATTTAAAGACAGGGTCTCACTGAGTTACTTAGCACCTTGCTTTTGCTGAGGCTGGCTTTGAATTTGTGATCCTCCTGCCACAGCCTCCTGATCTGCTGGGATTACAGGTGTGTGCCACGGTGCCTGGCTCATACAATTCTTATGAAGTCTGCTTTGTCCCATATATCTTAGTGTAGGGTGATGAGCTTTTAAGACACTCACAGGGGTTGGGAGATGGAAAGAAAAGGGAAAAAAAAAAAAAAAAAAGAAAAACTGAGGCCCAGAGACTTAGTAAGTTGCTCAAGTTCACAAAACTTTCAGCAGTGTTGTGGAATGCTGATTATGTTCTATTATTAGTTCTGCCTCTGAAATTTTAAGTTAAGCGTTTTACTCTTTGGCAACAACCTCTACTCATTTTGACTTTTACTTGTTCATTTCTATTTTGATCTGTTCTGCCTTCTTGAGTCTTCTGAGTCCGTGACTTGTTTAGCCTACTTTTCATGTCTTATGACAATAAATATTCCGTCATCTACAGTCCCCTTAATTGATACGTATCCTCTTGTCTTACCTCCTTAATTATCCACCGGAACCCCAGTTAGCCCATTTATGTCTCCCTCTATTTCCATACACAGATTGCAGGAAACTCCACAGCACCATGGGGTTTGGGACTATATTGTTTGTTTTGCATTACTGTAACAAAATACCCGAGGAAAGATAACTTTATATAAAAGAGTTTTATTTAGCTCATAATTTTGGAGGCAGAAAGTCCAAAAAGCATTGCACAAGCTCTGGAAAGGATCCCAAGGCCAATGACTAATGGCAGAGTGCATGAGGGGGGCAGAAACCTGTTTTGGGAGACTAGATTCCTACAGTTCCTCCTGTAGGAATGGAGGGCATGTCACCATTGACCTAAGGAGAGACGTTTAAAAAGGTTTCACCACTGCCCAGTATCACCCTGAAGACCAAATATCCAAAGCTTGAACTCTGGGGACTTTGGGCAAGTAACATCCAAAGCATCTCAGGGACCAGGTCAAATTTCTGTTCTCCTCCTTCTGTTGAGCCTTCATACTCTTTGTCCTCTCCTACTGCCCTGAGTAGCCACTCTGAATGTTGGCTACCTTCCTCAAGCCTTTACTAGTACTTACTGTTCTCAGAAAATTATTTTGATTTATACTTTGGAGAGAAAACAGGGGCCCTGGATAGGCATCCACATAATTTCTTTTATGGAATTCCTCTCCACGTTTTCACCTTTGTTCCCTCCCATCTCAGCAGGAGGATTCCCATCTCTCTTCCTGGTCGGTCCTGGCTCCTCCTACCTCAGGAAACTTGCTCCTTCATTAATTCTGCTCTCTCTTATAGCCTCAGTGTCTTCTGGCTTATTTTCTCCTGCCTAAAACAAAACACTTCACCAAACTGACCCTCTAGTTTGTGTTCTCTTGTAGGCATTGCATCCTTCAACTGAAGCTTCTCTAGAGACGGTTCTTGTGGTCTCCTTTACATCTCCCTTTAGGGACTCCCTGTAGTCTGATTGATTTTGTTAATCCACCCGGAGTGCCCAGGAGGTGGGTGAGCTCCGTGGCCACCATGGATGGATACATTTTAGCTCTAATGTTGCTTTTTTTGGGGTGTGTGTGTGAATATTTGAGTTTGTTCTTCACCTGGAACTGTTCCTCCTTGGCTTCCTTTGGTACCACCATGTCTTAGCTCCCTGCCTCCTTTCTGACTGCCTTCTCCCCGTGTTTTAAACGAGCATCTGTTCTTTCCTTCACCTCTGTAGTTATTGGCCTATCCTAGGATGCCATTTGATCATCCTGCCTTCTTTCTCTGAAAGATGCTCTTCCTCACATCGGTGTCACCCACGTCCTTGTTCATTCACTCCCTGAGCTGATGGCTTCCAAATTAACACCTCTCCAGAGCTAAAGATCTGACCACCTAACTGTGACCTGGATTTTTCTTCTGCAATATAGCATAGGCATCAGGTTCATATATCAAGGTTACTGTGCCCAGATGTACAAATTATCCTCTTTCTCAAAATTGTCCTTCCTCTTGAATGCCAGGTCCTAGACATCCTTTGGGCTCACTTTCCTTCTTGTCTATTTGGTGATCAGGTCTGGTTATCTGGTTTTCCCAAATAGCTCTGAAGTCCATCTTATCCTCTTCATGTTTGCTCTTCTCCTCTGAGTGTTCAGTGTCCCTGGAAAGAACTGGCACAGTGGCTTTCTGACTGATTTTCCTTCCTTTAAACTGACTGCCTTTGGTCCCTCCTAGTCTGCACCCTCCCCTAGAGTGATCTTCCCCAGTGCATAAATCTATGCATCTTGGCATCCTGAAGCTGCAGTCTCTGATGTGTCACCCTGGGAATGAGGCATTTGGCCTCAGTTCAGACTTTTGCATGATTACAAGGTGCTCATTATCTGGTCTTCACAGCCTTTATAACCCTCCCTCTTATTCCAGCAACTTCATGCTCTGTACATGGCAAACCACTCTCCTTTCTGGAACACCCTGAGATTTCGTGCCTTTGTGTATGCTCTTTTCTCTGTTTGGGATGCCTTACTTCAACCCTTATTCCTTTTTTACCTGTTGTACTCTCTGTGGTCAAAATATCCATCTGTCCGTCCATCCATTCATCCATCCATCCATCCATCCGAATATTTATGAGTAGCTACTTTTTTGCAGGTACTGCTGTTCTTGTTACATGACCAGCCCTGTCCCTCTCCTACTCCAGATGAACCAAGCAATTCCTCCTCCTTTTAATATGATTGTACCTTTAAAAAAAATTTGTCTTGATTCTTGCCACAATTTATTTATTTATTTATTTGGTGGTTGTTTACGTATGTTTCCCTACACTGCTGGTGAGCTCAAGAGATGGAATGCATCTTCATTCAGTTTGTACCCTGATCCTTAGCACAGAACCTGACACCCGGGCACAGCCATATTTGATGGTAGAGTAGTTTCTGCTTCTCAAACCCTGCTGATTTCCACTGTGGAATGATGTAGGAGCAGAAACATAGGTGATGGTCTTTAGAGGGAAGTCCAACCCCCTACTCCCAAGTCTTTGCATGTATCTCACCATCAGGGAGAGCCCCATGTTCTAGGAAGTCTTCATGCAGCCTCTTTTCTTTGTTCTACCTCCACCATCATGCAGAAATGGGGTGGGGGTGGGACTGGTGAGATTGGAACCATGAAGAGGACACCATAAACTGCCATCAAGATTTCAGGTTATCTTCAGGATTGTTAAGTGAACCTTTGGTTCCATTTCATCTCTTTTTGAGGAAGGTGAGTGGTGGGGAGGGGAAGGATTCTAGGAGAGGAGACATGTATTTGGCCTCCGTATTTGGAGGAACAGGTTTTTGAAAGCTGAAGTGTTCCATAATTTCGTTATTCCCAAGATGTGAATGGCAAACCTTAGTAGAAGCTGTAAAATCTTAATCCGAGAAGCACAAAAATGAGTTGGCCTTCAATATCGAATATTGATTGAAAGATGATCTTCCCCACATCGGTGTCACCCACGTCCCTGTTCATTCACTCCCTGAGCTGATGGCTTCCAAATGAACACCTCTCCAGAGCTAAAATGAGTTGGCCTTCAATATCAAATAATAAAATGTGGGAAAGTAGACTTAGGACTCCTAAAACACATTAAAGCTGTAGAAAGTGCACAGCAAAACCCTGACACAGTAGCCACTTGGAAGGATCCTGGGGTTAGTGCCACATGCTACAATCTGTTGGAACCATGCTATTTTCTAATAACTGAAAAAAAATATACAGTGTGGAAATGGTTTTCATCATTGGAAGCAAAAGTTATGGTAGTCCTATCTGAGAATCAAGTTACTTGTGTGAGCGTCAGATGAATGACCTCTTAGTCCCACTGCTTCTCAGGCATTTGTTCATTGCTGCTGCTGACTTTCACTATTGGCAAAAAATATCTAAAGCTTAGGATCACAGCCACCTGATGGTGCTGCAGAAAGCTTGAGAGAGGCTGGATTGAGGCTTCATATGACAAGGGTATCAGTGATGCATATTGATATTTATCAAATCTTTTAATAATAGTTGTAGAGAATGCCTAGGACCAAGCTCTGGGGATCCCCTGAGTAAGCAAGGGAACAGGACTCTGACTTCTTGGAGTCACCATTGTCTTTTCCTTTTGTCAGGTATGACAAAGAGACAGCCTCTCTTTGGAGGCCTCTTTCCCAGTCCTCTTGGGAGCACTTGCTAATTGAAATCCAAACATCTACTTCATCTTCATCCCTGGTTACCACCTCACTTTCCAGAAAAGTTTTCTTTATAACTTGGTGAAAATAATCAGGTGGGACCATAGCATTGCCCTCTACCTACCTGCATGGAACTGGGTCCAGTTCCTGTTTGTCCTGGAATTTCTAGATCGGGTTGACTATTTCCCCTAAAAACTGTGAACCTCTGAAACACACACACACACATGCATGCATGCACGCACACTCATATATATTTTTTTTCTCAAACTTTATTCTGTAGGCTGTGTTTTAATGATCTCTTTCTCTTTTTTTCCCCCAGAAGGTAAGAGGGGCATCTGGTGGAGCTTTGCCAAAAAGGAGGAATTCCAAGATTTTTTTAGGTAATGTAAATCATTGTCAGCAGTTTCCTCAGATTTCCTCTGTGTGTATGTGTGTGCGTGTGCATGTCTGAATTACAGTAATTATAGGTTCTTTATTGTTCTACAATATAAGGATAAGAGGCTCAAATTAAATCAAGAGGCTCTGACTCCACTCTGCATGTACCTGATGGTGACGGTAGCTTTGGCACCCTTAGTTGGCTCTAGTGCTTTGAAGTGATTATATTTATAGTGACTAGAGTCACTTGAGAACCTAGCTCTGGTCTCTCTTTTCATTGACTTGGAAGAAGAGCCAGTTTTTCTTTTTTTAAAAAAAATTAGCCTGGGCTGGGGATGTGGCTCAAGCGGTAGCGTGCTCGCCTGGCATGCGTGCGGCCCGGGTTCAATCCTCAGCACCACATACAAATAAAGATGTTGTGTCCGCCGAAAACTAAAAAATAAATATTAAAAAATTCTCTCTCTCTCTCTCTCTTTAAAAAAAAAATTAGCCAAACTGCAAGTTTTTGGATTTCAGCAGTTTGTCCATTAATGTCCCTTTTTGATTACACAACCCAGTCCAGGATCCCACTTTGTATTTAATTTTCATGTGTCCATCACCTTTTCCAATCTGTGATAGTCCCTCAGGCTTTCTTTGTCTTTAATAATTATGACACTTTTGAAGACAGTTATTTTGTAGATTTTGCCTCCCTTTGGGTTTGTCTGATGTTTTATCACGAAGAGTCTGAAGTTACGTATTCCTGGGGAAATTTCCATAAAAGGAATGTGTCCCTCTCAGTGCATGCTATCGAGAGGTACATGACGTTGGTACGACTTCATGCTGGTGATGTTGAACTTGATCACTTGTTAAGGTTGTGTCTACAGGGTTTCTCACTGTGAACTTATAATGTAATTAATAAATACCTTGTGGATGCTTTGAGACTATACTAATGTCATGTTTCTTAGAGTTTTTTAAAAATTGATTTTACCATCTATGAGTGGATCTTGCTTGTAGTAATTATTACGGGGTATTTGTCTAATGGTGGTATTTTAATTTCCCTCATTCAAGAACAGTCAGTTTTGCTTATGTTGATTTCTATATCATACAACTATGGTCATATTTCATATTAGGCTTCTGATATAGTTTCCTCAGGAGAAAAAAATGATTCGATGTTTGACCAACCAGTTTACATCTCTTATTTGAAAGAAATCTCAAAATTGCTTGAATAGTATGATTTCATTTTGGTAAACAAAACAAAACAATTAAACAAACAAACAAAAAAATATATATAGTGTATATATGTATATGTGTACATATATGTATGTTTGTATGCATGCATGTATGCATATGATTATCTTTGTATGCACATATGTGTATATATATATATATATATATATATATATACACACACACACACACACACACCCATATATAAATATATAAATGGGAGACTGGAAGAATGTACTCCAAATTGTGAACAATAGCTCCTGTGATAAAATGATTCTGATTTTTTAATTTGTATTTAAACTTTTCCATAACAAATACATGTTATCATTGCAGTGAAGTCTCATGCATTGTTTGATAAGTAGACTCGCTGAAACAGTCATGAAGCTGAGTTTCCCTCCTGGTTTGATTCTCAGTTACTCTGTGCTAGGCCCAGTTTTGCTGTCTTCTCTCCTGCTTTCCAGCTCTGGGTTTTCTTTAGAAGGCTTATTTGCCGTTGCTTTTTCCACCCTGGTCAGTCTTTCCCATTTCTCAATGTGCCCCAATCAACCAACCAACCCAAACCATCCTTGCTGAAATGATTGAATGCATTGTGATGCTCTGGTTTTTATTTAGTCTTTTGGTTCCTTCCACTGATACATAATTAATGTGACATCTGAATTAAATGACATCAGTATGAACTTCTTGAAGGTAGAAATAATTTAACATTTTGACATACTGTTGTTACATATTTATTTATTTTTGGTTGAATGAAGAAGTTAGCAAAACTCTTAGCCTTTATTTAAACTTTGTGTCTTTTACTGAAGAGATTTGGAGGTTGCTTTTTTTTTTTTTAGTAATTATTTTGATATTAGAGGATATTGTCAAGTCACTATTTATAAAATTTATTTAACCAATTGAATAGAGGAAAGGGACCAGGGGGAGGGAAGAAGGGAAAGAAACAGGAGGTTCCTGGGAATGAAATTGACCAAATTATATTTTATATTGTGTGCATGTATTTTATATGATGATGTAAAAATGAATCCCACCATTATGTATAGTTGTGATGTACCAATAAAAATTAATTAAAACTTAAAGGTAAGCTCTGAGTTTTTGTACTTTACACTCCATGGGCCCCTTTGATTGTTACCCATCATTTCATTTCGATGGGACTTTTCTTACTAGCCACTCTGTTCAATCAACATTCTGTGACTCAGAAGACTAGAGGATATATCTGAAATTCACAGCCCAGCCTGCCTGAGTGTTCTGTTTGGACTGTGTTCATTTTTAAAAAATTTAAACTGGGATGGCGTTAGCTCTCTGGGGCTTTCCCTAGACCCCATTTCTCCCTCTTGTTTTACCCTCAAGTGTATTTACATTAGTGCCTCCATCTGCGTAAGAACTTAGTGTTGCAGGCCTTGAGTGACAGTTCTCTCCAGCACTGCTTCTCATGTCCCAGGAGCAATTTTCTCTTGTCACACTAATCACAGCTCTTGAGTTCAAGTAGATATAGCCTGTAGTGGTGGGTCCTATTAGGATTATTTCCAGTTTATGTAACAGAAAGCTTTAGATATTGACAACTTTAAATAAGATTCGTGCTTATTTCTCTCATGTGAAGGAGATTGAGAAGCAGTTAAGTACAGGATAATGGGATGGCCACGTGTTCATTAGGGATCTTGATTTTCTGTATATTTCTGCTTTATCCTCCCATCTTGGCCTATGACTTCCAACCTCATTATCATTTGGCCCAAAGTCGGTTTAGGGACTCCAACCATCTCCTTCCCATTTGGAAAGCAAGAAAGAGGAAGGGGGAAGGAAAAGAAAAAAAAAGTAATTTTCCAGTGTAATCACCTGCTTTTTGTCTGACTTTTCAAAGATCCCCACTTATAGTACACCTCTCTGATCAGAACTTGGTCACACCCTGCTGCAGAAGAAACTAGAAAATAAAGTCTACTAACTGCTTCACTGAGTGAAGTTGGGGGTTCTTACTAAAGAGAAAAGGGAGAATAGGTAGTGGGAGGCAGCTAGTAGCTTCTGCCATACATATTTCCTTTTTTGAAAGGGACATTAGGGTCATCTCTTTATAGAGGGGAAAAGAACTCAGACCTGTTTGGCAATTTCTTTTCATTTCTTTGACTGGGAAGCACCATCTCACTAGTGCTGAAATGTAGTTGTTGGGATACCCTGCCTTCCCCTTCATAAAGCAGATGTAGATGGGCAATGCTTTATTTTGGATTGAAGCTTTTTTTTTTTTTTCCCTCCCCTTCCATTCCCCTGATGATTTTGTGAACAATTCCTTTTCCAGTGACTCAACAGTGACATTAAAAATCACTGTTTGATTACAGCCTTTAATAATGATTTTGTCAGGGAGGTTGAGGCCTTTAGCTGGTACTGAACAGCTGGCCCGAGCCTCCTGCATGTCATCCGCCTCTCAGTGGACAAGTCATCCTTCCTCTGAAACACTTTGATATCCATTCAAGTGAAATGACTTCATCTCCAGGCTTTGTTGGTAATTTGTTCTTTAATCAACAACTGTGATCATGGGTAATTTCAAAATCATTTTGAATTCTATACTATTTTGCATTTAGGATTTAAAAATATTTTCTGAACACCTAACCTATGGACAAAGCTTAAAATTTCACAAAAAAACTGTAAAAGGCTGTGTAGTGAAAAGTTTCTCTGTCTTCCCTGTCTCCCAGTCACTTGTTCCCAGAGACAAATGATATTTTCAGTTGGTACATCTTCGTACACCTTGTTTTTCCTTTCAACACCGGTCTGTACGTAGGCCATGCTTTTAGATTTTTTTCCCCCCCCGAGGGTGGTTGGGAGCCATTGACACTTTGGTTTCAAAAAACTGTGCTCTGAGGCACCCTGAGATGCTGCAATAAACTCACAGGAATATTTTAAATATTTGAGGGAACAGTGATGATCAAACCTGCATGAATTAACCTTGATGTTGTTTTACTGTTAGTTTATCCTGTATTCCTGTATTCCTTCCAGTGACTTCATCTCTTTGAAAATTCAAGTGTTTTTTTTTTTTTTAAGTTAGTTGTTTCTATGGCAAAAGACCAGGACCTTATCAAGATCAATGTGGATGGGTGGCAGTATTCAGTCTGATTCAAGGAGAAGTTGTGCAGTTCAGCTGGTGCACACATCTCATTAGTAAGGAATGGTGGTTAAGAATGAGGTAAAATAGTTTCTTCCAATATGTGTGGATTAAGTTTTCAAGTGGCTACTAAGTTATACCATAAATACTTAGTTTTCTGGACCTAACTACTAAATGAACAGAATGATCAGGCATTTCCTTCAGCTTAGGTCCCCCATGAAAAAACTGTTGGGTAATTTTTCATTAATGTTTTTGCGCTGGATAAGAGACACCATTAGGTGGTCTTTTAGGAAGATAACTTGTAACAACATGAGAGTTTTTGATTTTCAGAAGTTAACTGACATAAAACTAGAGTGTTTTATGAGAAAGAAGGAAGGAGGCAGGGAGCTAAGGGAGTCCAGGATCCTCAAAGAAATATCCTGGGGCTTACATTGTGATTCTGGCCTAAATGTTCATACATCTGTATATACATCTATAACTGTATCTCTATCTATTTCCACACACACTCGTATGTATTTGTACATACACATGTAGCAAAAAAGCTACAAATGTGTAAATAACTGGAAATGCATTTAAAATACCATCTCATTGGTATGCCATAAAAACAGTGTTCAATACTCATATTTTTGTTGAGTCTCCTTTGCCACTTTTCATGAATAGGAGTAAATGAGTTAAGTACCTCTGCGTTCAAAGAGTGGAGCATTGAAGAGCTACCACCAAACCTCAGAGAGCTCAAATTCCACTTTTTGATTTAGCTATGGCATTCATACTCAATGAGAAACAAGTTGAAAACAGAAAATTTGAGAAAAATTCTGGGATTGGGCCTGTTCAGACCACTCATCCAAGCGTTTGGGACCAGAAGGTGTAAATAACTCCATTTACCATTTCCTTCTGGAATGGGTCAAAGGAGGAGTTGTGTTTTCAAGGGGCTTTTCCCTCATGCCCTCTTCAAAGATAAATAGTTGGTGAGATTTTTGCAGCCACAGGACAGATTGTTCACCTCCAGCACATAAGATGAAGTCAGCGTGGTCAAGCCGAGAGGGCTCTGCAGGAGGAATTGGAGCCTTGGATTTATTTTGTACTGCCCAGGCTTCTGGGAGAGGAGGGTGTAGTCCCAACCTCTTCTTCCAGGGACCTGGGAGATTATTAAAGCAGAATTGGGGAGAAGTTTTGCTTTGCTTTGCTTTGTTTTAACTTAGAGAAAGAGCTCTTCTGGGTATTGCCAGTAATAGCCTCAGTGGCTGGGGGGAGTAGGGAGCCCCAGTCCTGTGGGTCCCCACAGTATGGTTACTCTGTAGGTTCCTCAGCTAGATATTATTTGCATTGCGAGACTTGATTTAAAGAAATATGTAAATTTTAGATCATACTTGGGGCTCTGGAGCACTTATGTTCAGAAAGCCTTAGATTTGTCTCTTAAAATCAGCATGTAGGTCGCCTCTGCTAAGGCTTTTCCCTACTTAAGATGTTTGGGAAAGATCATGAGCCCCTTCCATTCTATTGAATTAAAAATACAAGTAAATTATGAACTAAGTGTAAAGAAGTACAACGAAGTTCTGCTTGTCTTGCTGCTTCTTGTCATTGGCTGCTCCTGGACACACAGGAGCAGCCAATGAGAACAGCAGCACAACACCTCCTTGGATGTCCTTGCTTTGCTGTCATCCGTCCTGAGCACACTAGTGATCTTGGCTTCCTGAAGTCTCCTTTTATGAATGTGTGCTGAGTGCATGGTGTGTGTGGGGGCACTGTGCAGAGTTTGGGGATATGGGAGGTGAATACGACTTGTTCCCTCTCTGAGCTCATAATTGAGAAGCATTTGAAGATCTACCTTCTCCACACTTAGATCATCTGAAAGATCCCCACACAATGCCATGGTTTTCCTGAAACTTATTTCAGGATTACTTCTGAGCTGGTGCAGCTAAAGGGAGGGGAGGCATTTTGGATGGTGTTAACTGTTGGGAATGTGGAGAGGGTAATGAAGATGTGATGCTGGTGATTATCTGTGAGTCTCTCGGACTCATTAGATCCTATTAGGTGCCTTAAGACCTTATCTTGCTTAATCCTGTTAATCTTATGCAGTAGATAATATTATCTATAGCTTACTCATGAGGAAAATGAACTTGGAAAAAACTCAGCGGGGGTGACAGAGTTAGTAAATGTTAGAACAGGATTTCTTTTGGACTTTGTTTGCTTATTCAGACCATGTAAGATTTGAATTAGTATTAGTGAATATGTTTTCTTTGGAAAGGGGGCAAATATTATCTTATATGAATCCAAACTGTACGTGAACACAAGATTTGTACTTTGTAAAATGTGGTATATATACACAATGGAATATTATTCAGCATTAAAGGAGAATAAAATTGTGGCGTTTGCAGGTAAATGGATGGAGTTGGAGAATATAAAGCTAAGTGAAGTTAGCCAATCCCCCAAAACCAAATGCTGAGTGTTTTCTCTGATTTAAGTATGGTGATTCGTAATGGGGTTGGGGGAGTGGGCATGGGAGGATTAGCTGAACTCTAGATAGGGCAAAGGTGAGGGAGGGGAAGGGAGGGGGCATGGGGGTAGGAAAGATGGTGGAATGAGATGGACATCATTACCCTAAGTAAATGTATGAAGACATGAATGGTGTGACTCTACTTTGTGCACAACCAAAAATATGAAAAATTGGGCTCTATATATGTAATATAATTGTAATGCATTCTGCTGTCTCACACACACACACAAACTCACACACACACACACACACACATATATATATATATATATATATATATATAAATTAAAAAAAAAAAAAAATTTGTCCTTGGTTATTTAAAATGGTTACATGTGCTATAACAAAGAATATTTTAAGAGCAAAGTTCACCCACTCAATATTTTCATTGGTGCAGGCTTCTTTCCAATTTTTATCTATGAACATAATATAAAGTTGTCTGGAGAGTGAAGATGAATTTTTAGTGTTAACATAGCAAAAACATTTCCATGTTTCTGCATAGTCTAAATAACTGTCATTTAAATAATATTCTGTTGAGTTGAATGTCATTTTTGTTGAATATTTAGGTTCCAGTTTTTTTTTATAGATATAGATACTGGGACATTCAAATTTTTATAGCACATACAATGCCTTTTTGTTTGAATTATTTGCTTAAATAAATGCCTTTCATTCCTTCTTAAGCTAATAGAATCTTTAAAATCATCTTTTATTAAATTAACCTTTCACGGCTATCTAGCCATTTTGTTTAGTTCTTCATTTTGTAGTTTCTGATTCTTACTATTTAGAATCTTTTATTGAAATGTTTGGATTGTGTTTTCTCTATATCTTATTTCTTACTTACACCTGCCCTACCTTTGAGAATTCCAGAGCAGAGGTAAGATTTGCTAGGTTTTTGGTTAAAGGTGTACAAGATAATAACAGGATCTGGATCCTTTGGTCTCAGGCAACCTTCAGAGTCTAGTCAGGTGACTTTCTTCTATCTACAGTGCCTGTGTTTCTCCATATGTTTGTGTACCTGTTCCTGTGTGAGTTTGTGCGTGTGAGTGGCATATAGTCCAATTTTCCTTTTTGTCACCATAGTTCCAAACTTAGAAATATACAAACATGATCTGGGATGCTGGCATCCCCATGAACGTGAGACTGAAGTGTCCCTGTAAATATTGTGACAGGACGTTTCCTTGAGACTTCATCTAACCTTTACCAGAGATTAACCAAGCAAAGAGGTGATGACTTAAGAGATAACAGGCTGGAGAAGCTCATCTTTCCTACTAGGAATTCTCTGCAGCTCAAGGGCAACAGGACTGCTCACATGACAGGGTTTCCCCAGCTGGTTTACTCTGCAAGATCTCATGACCATTAGAGGAAGGGAATGGGCACAGGGGAGAGACAGAGATAGGTAAGAGAGAGAGTGAAAGGGAGATTTTGTTTTTAAATAATAGCTGCCATTCATTGATGACCCATTGTGTGCCAGGTCTCTTTTCTACAATTTCTCATTTACCTCTTATCTAAATGGTGTGAGATAAGTGTTATTATCTCCAGCTGCAAATGAGGAAACTAAACAGATACAGAGTTTGTGACTTGCCCCAAGTAACATGAAGTTTTGGGACCAGCACTGAATCTAGGTTTACCAGTTCTCAAACCCATGCACTTTCTTCTATATGATAGCCCATTCCTGTGAAATCAGCTATCAGGTATCCCCAAAAATCATATTTAGAAATATATTCCTTTAAAAATCTTTTAAGAAATCTCTATCTAGCTTATATGTTTGTTCTGCTAGACTTTGTGATATGACTCAGTCTTCTTCGTACATCTGTCACTGGTAAATAAATATTCATGACTAAGGGAAGATGGCAGGACCTGTTATTCCTGGTTTGGGGCAGACAGACGGTCATGTCAGAGTTGGAAATTGTAAATGTCACATCTTTGGTATGGCGTCCTCTATGGTGTTCTGGCTTTCCCAGTGTGTGCTGCCTCACTTTTTATTCTTTGTTTTTGTTTTCTCCTCAGATCTAGATACTGATGACGATTTAAATAGCGACGATTATGAATATGAAGATGAAGCCAAACTTGTAATATTCCCAGACCACTATGAAATAGCACTACCAAATATTGAGGAGTTACCAGCCCTGGTCAGTGAGTGTGCACGGCTGCTAGCTAGATGCGCGTGACTCTGTCAGGTGTGTGTGTGTGTGTGTGTGTGTGTGTGTGAGACAGGGGCAGGGAAGGTGAGAGCATGAACAGGGGCCTATTGCTTCTCCTCTGTGACAGGGTCTCGTGGGGTTGTGGTTCGGTACTGCTGGGCCTCTTACTTCCAGTGCTGGTGGGCTTCATTGCTCCCCAGGCCAGCCTCCTCCAGGGTGGTCTGGCCTCCTTGTCAATCTGTTGCTTGATTTCCAAAGTGTGCCCTTCTCATGTGCACAGACTGCTGGAGAGGGACCATCTTCTGATCAGAAGGATGACAGTATTTTTAATTGGGCTTCTCATGTTGTCTTTCCATGTAAGATTTTGCTTGGGCAAAATAAAAGTGTGCCACTGTAGAATGACAGCAACACGATTATGAAAAAAAAAAAAACCAGACCCTCAAAAATCCCAGGTGTGCGGGAGCGCTGGGGAAGTTCAGCTCTGCTCCTGTGAAGACCATTTATATCTTTAGCAATGAGCTTTTCCCATCCCCTTCCCTTCTCTTTTCTTCCTTTTCCTTCTGTAAGAATCCAGTTTTGTGAAGGGATCCTGAACTACTTGAAGCTGGGGCTGGTGGCGGTGATGGGGGATGCCATGATGTTTTCCTTTGCTTCTGGAATCTTCCAAGAGGGCACAGAGTTCTTATGGGGACCCTACATGTTTTTCCTGCTCTTTCCTCATTTCCTGTGTTGCCTCCAGCACTTCACCCTCCTTCCTTTTTCCATTTCCTCCCCCCCCCCCTTTTTTTCCCCTGTTTTCAACTCTGAGCACACCTTGACCTCTCAGGGTCCTGCCACAGATGGCAGGGGGCTCTGAAGGAGTCAAGTTTATTCCCCCCCGCCCCCCTTCTTCAAACTCTGCCAGAACCAAAGTCAGGTCTTTAGGTCCCACCATCTTCTGGATGTTACGTGACTATAGCCATCTGCTCATTTGCTGCTGCCAAGAGGGGACCTTTGTGCTAGGGTTTCCAAGTTACCAGGGACCAGGTTTCTACCACTTAACCTCTTTCCCTTGATCTAATTTATATCTAAATGTGTGACCATCCAAATGAGAAATTTGTGTATTTATCTATTGTAGCCCTTCTACTTATTAAATGGAACATACCCTTTTCCATCCCAAGTGTCCAGTACTTAGTGAAGCATGCAGAATTAAATTACCTTTGCTTTCTCAGGTTCCCCATGTTGACTCATGTGACTGTTAGCAAGGATAAAATATATTGGTGGACAAAATGGTTTTACTTTATCCCATTACCTGAAATGATACATTAAGGCTATGCCCTTCTTTGATACAACTCTTGTTTCTGCTGTTGGAAACGAAGAAGCATATTGTGAATAAATATCATGAGAAATTATTTTTCTCTCAATCACTCATCATGAAGTATGTGAAAAAAGTAAATAAAAAAACTTCTTAATCATCTCTGTATTCAGAGTATAATTTGAACTATGAATATTCTTATTTAAAAGGCAAGTGCCACAGAAATCTGAATCCATAAGATATATCATAATTTTTAATAGAGTATCTTTTAAAATACTTTAACATTAAAAATTTATTACTTTAAAGAAATACTTTAAGAATGGGGGAAAAAGAAGAATTATTTGGAAGTGGTTGAATAGGAAGATTGAATAAGAAATCAGGATTTATCTGTTGGTAACCAAGAGGATTTAACTACACAAAAGATGCTAGTTACTATATTTTCTTATCATGCTTTTGCTGTATTTTTGGTATTTGAAGATTCTCACTTGAAAATTTATTTATTTATATATAGTACCAGGGTTTGAACCCAGGGGCAGTTAACTACTGAGCCACATCCTCAGCCCTTTTTTCATTTTTAATTTTGAGACAGGGTTCTGCCAAGTTACTTAGGGCCTCGCTAAGTTGCTGAGACCGTCTAGAACTTGCAATCCTCCAACCTCAGCCTCCCAAGTTGCTGCTGGGATTACAGGTGTGCACCCCTGTGCTTGGCTCTTTTTAAAAAAGTCATTGGGGAAAAAAAAAATCGTTGGTCTCAAAAACACCCAAGAGGTGACTCTTCCTTTATCTCTTGAGTGTCTCAGCCCAGAACAATTTCATTTGAGAGAGTTATTCTGTAGATTCTATCAGAAAGTGAAGCCACTTCTGGGTGGCACAGGGTTCACAGAGGCAACATTGTGGGCTCAGCTAGAGCCTTGCAGTCTGGAATTCAGTGTCTTCATTTCCCACCTCAGGAACCTGAGCAGCGGATGCTGTGCTGGTAGTTTAACAGCAGGCTCCTGTGGGAAACAGCCCTGCCTGTGATGTGAGGTGATTCCCACAGTGTCCACTCCTTCCATGGCCGATTTCAGGCTAACATCGTGACATCATAGAATGCAGTTGGCAGAGAGGTGCAGTAGCAGACCGTTTTTACAATTCCCATTATTCAGTTAAAGTAGATGTAAGTAACCTCAAGAACATGTGGATGGTAGATACAGTAAGACGTCTAGAAAGTGAGGAGTTTTTGAAGTGAGTAGTTATGTGCTACCTTTTAAAGATATTTTATGTATGTTTATATATAATTTAATTTTTAATAAGGGTTGTGTTTAGCAACCATCTTGCAAAGATTTCTTATTTTTTTTCTTTTTTGGTACATGTAAATGTAAAAATTGTACATATTAATGGGATATCATGTGAATTTTTCAATACATGTATATACCTAATGATGTTTAAATAAGATTAAACATTCTGTCTCTTGAAACGTTTATCATCTCTTTATGGTGAAAACGTTTAGAATCCTTTTTTTAAATTATTTATTTTTTAGTTGTAGGTAGACACACAATATCTTTATTTCATTTTTATGTGGTGCTGAGGATTGAACCCAGTGCCTCACGTGTGCTAGGTGAGCACTCTACCACTGAGCCATAACCTCAGCCCCTGAAATCCTATTTTAAAGCTTTTGAAAATATATAGTATATAGCTGTTATCTGTTATCTCAGTACTGCTCTTATCTAACTGTAGCAATACCCATTGGTCAGTCTTTCCCCAACCCTTCCTCTCCTCTCCTCTTCCCAGCCTCTGGTAACCACCATTCTACTCTCAACTTCTGTGTGATCAACTTATTTTTATATTTCACGTATGAGTGAGCTCCTGAGGCACTTGTCTTTCTGGACCTGGCTTATTTCACATAACAGAATGACCTCTAGTTCCATCTATGTTGCAAATGACAGGATCTCTCTCTCTCTCTCTCTCTTATTATTTTTTTTAAAACTTAAAAAAAATCTAGTATTCATTGTGTGTATATACCATATTTTCTCTGTCCATTCATGAATTGATGAACACTCAGGTTGTTTCCATTTCTTGGCTTATTGCAATAAGCACGGGAGCGTGAAATTTCTTAAAATTGAACCATCAACTCCCATGAGCCAGCTCAAGTGAGTTCTAATGTACCACTGCACTTGAGGCTTAGGAGACTTGGGATAGAGCCAAGGTCTCCTCACTTCACTCCAGATAACAAGTCCAAGGAAAAAGTAATTCACAGAGTAATTATAGATTGATTGATCCTGACCTTCAGCTATTCATAAAAAGGGCCTGTAAATGATTCTTTTTTTGATGACATTTTAAAAACACTAGATCAGTAGTTTATAAAAGTGGTTCAGAAGTCTAAGGGAATTTTGTTGGATGTCACCAGAAAGGATATTCAAAGAAAAGGGAAGATTATATTTGAATCTTCTTTAATATCACTGTACGTTTCAAACTAGAGCACTAAAAACGATCTAATGGGGAATGAAAATCCAGAGGAGGACAGAGCAATGATCCGTGTAGTTGATGAAACAAATAAGGGGCTTATATCAATCAGATCAGACTAAAAAGATGAGGTGCTGTAGCCAGAGTGCTGATGGGGCCTAGAAGGGACTCAGCACTGGGAAAATCTGGAAGAGGCTTTTAGATACTCAGCCATGTGTTTCACAGGCATCTCTGGAAGGTGGTGGGAGGTAAATTTTGATAATTGAAAGGAAAGACTAATTATATATAGCCATTGTGGTGAGAGATAAATGAAAGCTTCTCTTTTAAAAGGTTTACGTATTTATGCCCGCTTGTTCTGTAATGGATTCCTAGACTTTTTTTTTTTTTTTGTACTGGGAATTGAATCTAGGGGTGCTTTACCACTGAGCTGCCTCCCCAGTCCTTTTATTTATTTATTTTTTTATATTTTGAGTCAGTGTCTTGCTAAATTCCTGAGGCTGGCCTTGAACGTGCGATCCTCTTGCCTCAGTCTCCCGAATTGCTCAGCTAGATTCCCAGACTTCTGAGGGCTGGGACCTCTGTCTTGTTCCTGTCTATACCTGGCCCTGTGTCATCTCTGGGTAGGGTTAAATGTCACCCTGGAGAATTCACTCTAGCGAAGGATAGGATCTCATTTTCAGAGCAGATCACTCTGACAGCTGGGTAGAGAAGAGGGAATAGAGTGTAAGAAAGGAGAAACCTAGGCTGCTGTGTAGCCATCTGTGTGAGCCATGCGGGTGTCTGAAACTGGGAGGGGGTGGCCAAAATGGAGAAGAGGTAGATGTCAACTGTATTGCACTTGGAGGATTTGTAGGAGTTGCTCAGGGCTTGGGTGGTGGTGGGGTGACAGCTGAGAAACTTCTTTTGTTTCTTACTTGGTCCTAGGGTTGGTTGTCAGTGCTACTCTGGAGGAAATGGTCAGCTAATTGTGCAGGAAGTTAGTAATGTAGAATGCAAATTTTATTTTCAACATTTAAAAAAAATAATTCATTCACTTTTATTCCTTATCCATTGCCATTATCTAATTTTAGAGTATTTTTATTGCTCCCCCCAAAGACCCCATTTCCCTTAACCATCACCCTCTAAACTACCCTACTAGCCTATGGAGATCACTAATCTATTTTCTGTCTCTACAGATTTATCTATTCTAGATATATTAATGGAATAAAAAATATGTTGTTCCTTATGATTGTCTTTTTGTCATTTGCATATATTTTCAAGATTTATCCACGTTATAGCCCATATCAGTAGTTCGTTTCCTTTTATTGCCAAATAATATTCCATTCTATGAACACATTATCTTTTATTTTATATTATCTTTATCACAGATATTTATTTTGGTTGTTTCCATTTTCTTATAAAAAAGGCTGCTATGAACATTTGCTTACAAGTGTTTGTGTGGTCACAGATTGACATATCTCTTGGGTATAACCCTAGTTGTAAAATGATTGGGTTCTGTGGTAACTCTATTTAATCGTTTGGGGAACTTACTGTTTTCTAAGATGCTTGTACCATTTTACCTTCTCATCAGAATATAAGTTTTTAAAGACATCTAGAAAGAATTTGTGGTATTAAGCAAGTAGCAAATGTTATCTCAGGCAAATGACCAGGATGAATTGGGTTTGGGGGAAGGCAGAGAATCTATCTTCCTCTTCTCTGGGTCAGTTGGTGCCAAGCAGGACATCACACATTTGCTCATGATGTGGACTGATCTGGCACAAATGTACCTAGGCATGTCCCTGTCCAGGGTCACATTTGCACCAGATTAAGAAATGGAGCCACACTGTGTACATTCCATTCAAGTGCCCTTGACTGCATGCCATTGTGTGATGAGTTGAGGATATTGGATATGATGGTGTATACTTGTTAGGAGGAAAACACCACTTGGGTAAATCCTGAGCATTCCTGTACCTAATTCCATCCTTATAAATTCTTCCACCTCATACTTTCTACCCTGCTTGCTAAGTGGTTGGAATTGTTCAGTTTGACCTCTGAGCTTGAGCTTACAAACTGCATTTGGTTCCTTGCTACCTTGTGTCATTGCTAATACTCCCATTTGTAGGCCAGGGATAAAAACCTGGTTAGGTCCAGGGGAAAATGCAGGAAACCAGGGTCTCACCCTTGTGGTAAATGTGTTGTTTGAATTTTCTTCAGTTAAGCTGTATTTACTAATAGGCTTTTAAGTTTACTTTCCAGCAGTTGCTATTCTCACAAAATGTTTTTATATGTTACATCTGGGTTTGTCTTTTAGGTGACAATTGCCTGTGATGCAGTTCTCAGCTCAAAATCTCCATACAGAAAGCAGGACCCAGACACATGGGAAAATGAGTTGCCAGTATCTAAATATGCCAATAACCTTACCCAGTTGGACAATGGTGTCAGGATTCCTCCAAGGTAAGAGCCAAATATAAGCAATTAGCAAATAGCCAATTAGCCCTTAACAGTGGTCAAAGGAACATTTGCTTTTCTTCCTCTTTTCTTGATCAGCAGTTACATATTTTCTTACCAAATGCCTTTTATTAAAAGGAGCTCAAAACTTCTCTGTAAAATAGCTTATAGGTTTGCAGTAGCTATAGAATGTGCCTAGGCCATCCCCTAACCCTCACCTGCACTAAAACTGCCAGTTGCAAAACCCTGCAATTCTTGGCTGAGGGTTGTCTCCTCCTGCTGAAGCCAGCTGGGCCCTCCATGGAGTGGTCAGAAATGCCAGAGTCAAAGCTCCTTCATCTTATCCTGGAATAGCCCTCTACCAGTGGTAGTGGAATGGGTGGATAAATACCTAGCCTCCTGCCATTCCAGGTGAGAAAACTGTCTCCTGTAGTTCTCCAGCTGGTCTGAGCCCCAGTTGCCCATGATAGTCACCTGCTCATCAACACACCCTATATGGCTCCTGCCCTTTCCTGTCTGCCTTCCCCACTCCCCTGGGATCACCTCCCACGTAAGCCACTTGCATTTAAGTTTTTGTCTCAGAGTTTGTTCTGCAACAGTCTTTGGTTGTCACATTTTGGTGGAACTGCTCTTGGGGCTGCATTGGCATCTCCTTTACTGGGTGCTGGTGTGTTTACAGAGGCAGATCCTGGAGGAAAGGGCAGGTGGATCGGGAATGTGACTGATTTGGTTGGACCCTGATTTTACTGTATTCCATTCTGTGTGGTCTTAGGAAAGGAGTGTCACTTCTGAGTCTCAGTTTCTTCCTTTGTAGCAGTGAGGATAGTAAAATGGTGCTAAACAGCATTTACTAGAATTCAATAAGTCTTTATGTAAGTTACCTGGCACATAGCTGATATTTCCCATTCCGTTTCTTTTCTCATTAATTTAGATTTGCAGTGTAGTAGGATGTGCTAGTCAACTTTCCATTGTTATAACAAATACCTGAGATACCTGAGATAAATCAACTTAGTAAGAGAAAAAGTTTTGTTTTGGCTCACAGTTTTGGAGGCTTCAACCTATGATCAATTGGTTCTGTGGCTTTTGGACCAGTGGTGAGGCAGCACAATGTGGTGGGAGCTCCTGCTGGAGCAAGCTGCTCACCTCATGATAGGATGCAGAGAGAGAGGAAGAGGAGGAGCCAGGGTTCTGATAGCTTCTTTAAAGGCAGCCTCCAATGACCAGAAAACCTCCTCCTGGTAGTGCCAAGCTGGGGACCAAGTCTTTAATGCATGAGCCTTTGGCGGACACTCCAGATCCAGACTCTTCTATAAAGTTTTGTTTAAACCAGTTTTACTCTAGTTTTAAACTAGAATTACTGTTCTAATAGTAGATTCAGTTATGCATGTTCCTGGTTCCTGCTTCAGTCCTCTTAGCCAAGAGATAAACAGAAGGATATAACAATAGCAATTAGTTTAAACTAGTTTACTCTAGTGGTTAATGCTTTAGAAGTTAGCCATTTATATACACAGACCCTTAATGTTTGCAACTTGTTCAAGGTCCACTGTCCAGCACATGGGAATTTTGAGAAAATGACCTTCCCTTCTACCCTTCATGCTGTGTATTGGTTTTCTAAAGTCAAAGAATCATCTCAGAGATGCTCCCTGTCTGGGAGGCAGGCAGGGTGCAGCGTGGTCCTGCTGCTCTGGGAGGGGTAAAGATAATGTTTGGAGGGGAGAAGGTGGGGAGGCATCAGTCTCTGTTATTCCACAGAGCATTTCTTCTGACCTGCCAGCTTGAGACGCTGTTTTTCTTAGATGTTAGTATTGTTGTGCTTCGGCTGTTCTGACTGCTGTATGTCACTACTTTCCAGTGGTTGGAAGTGTGCCAGATGTGACCTGCGGGAGAACCTCTGGTTGAATTTGACTGACGGCTCTGTCCTGTGTGGGAAGTGGTTCTTCGACAGCTCTGGGGGTAATGGGCATGCGCTGGAGCACTATAGAGACATGGGCTACCCTCTAGCCGTGAAGCTGGGAACCATCACTCCCGATGGGGCAGGTGAGTATGCCTTTTCCAAATCTGGGAACATGTAATGGCTTTTTAGATTTAACCCATCCTTTTATCCCCATGGTGGGTGTAGGCTCTGAACTCTGAACTGCTGTGAAGTCTTGAACAAGTTTCTAATCCTTCTGATTCCCTGTCTGGAGAATAGCAATGGCACCTCTCTCATGTTTATGGATGAGAATAAGGCATTTAGCCCCGTGCACATACTAAAGCTTGAAAAAAACGTTAGCTGCTATTGTTATACCCTTCTGTTTATCTCTCAGCCAAGAGGACAGAAGCAGGAATGAGGATTTTGAAGTGAACATGCGTAATTAAACCCACTATTAGAACAGTAGGAGAAAGTCCTCGAATTCATTATGGGGATTAGTACCATTTTAGGAACAAATGGGTTAATTATGGAGAAGATGAGTTTTAACAAATTCTCTTTGTTAAGAGTCCCTGAAATCGCCTGGCAGTGATGGTGTTCGCGTTCTTTGAAGGATTAGGATGGCTTCCTACTTGGACTGTCAGCTTCAGAATCAGTTATTTCTTTTTGCTCTCATGCAGCCTGCCCTAAAGTGTTGGCTTTTGGCCATGATTCTATAGTTAATTCCTCCTACCATTTTGTGATGGAAAAGGGAAATAATTTCAGGTCCAGAATGAGAAACTTAGATATTGAGCAGAAGCTATAAGAAGGGAGGGTACTGGGAAGGGAGGGGGAATGAGATGGATCTTATGTGCACGTATGAAGTATGAATGTGGCATAGAGAATCCCACCATTAGGTATAATTATACTGCCCGAATAAGAAAAAAGAACCCATCATCTAATCATCCTTGAAAATGCAGGTCTATACCAGTACCCACCCCAGCCTTCTCCATCTTCCCAGCTCTCTTGGGTCTCTGTTGCCTCTGTGTTTTTTGGTAAGACCGTGTTTTTAGAAGAAATACAAAGAAATCTGTCTTTCCTCTTTTCTTCTTGGTTATCGTTCTGTGATCGAATTAGCTTGCTTCAGAGTTAATTGATCAAGATCTTTCACTCAGTCTGGAACACTTCTCACCAACCATTAAATGGGTTTAGTTTGTCATTTTGGAAAATTTTTTCTTTTTTTTGCAGGGGAGTGGGTACCGGGGATTGAATTCAGGGCACTCGACCACTGAGCCACATCCCCAGCTCTATTTTGCATTTTATTTAGAGACAGGATCTCACGGAGTTGCTTAGTGCCTCACTTTTGCTGAGGCTGGCTTTGAGCTCTCAATCCTCCAACCTCATCCTCCTGAGTTACTGGGATTACAGGTGTGTGCCTTCAAGCCCAGTTGGAAATTTTTTCTTGCTCCCAAATTTCATGGAATTTTTTAAATTCATTATTGTTTTTGGACAGGTGTAGTCCTTTTTATATAAATGTATTAGACTGATTTTCTAGTATGTATACGTGTTGGTGTTTTTCTTAATTTTTAAAAAATGAACTCTTTAGTTATTAAGAATATTAACCTATTATGTGCCATAGTTGTTAAGTGGGTTTATTTTTGTTATTGTTGTTAAAAAGGGAGAACTTTGTTCATTCATGGAGTGTGTAAAACAGGGGCAACAGTGCAGACCCCATGTCCTGTGGTGATAGTTCTTGAATTCATGTAGCTGAAATAATGTTAACTTTTGAAAAAAAGATAAGACTTTGAGTCCTGTGTATGTTGTATAGTTTTAGTGTTAATAAAATGACTGTTTTCTGTCTAATTATTGTTCATGGATAGCATTAATTCTATTTTGTTTCCTTTAAATATGTTTAAATCTGTTTGTTAGTTATAACTTACTGTTTATTTAAAAGCCAAATGAATCAGTAAGAGTGTATATGAAGTTTCTTGAAGTGTTTTGCGATGAGCCTGTGGACCCTGAGATGCAGGAGGGTGGGTGTCTTCCATCTGGCGATTGGGGACACGTCCTGGTAAAGGTACCTCTGCCAACGTAACCATCTTCTACACTCATTGGGCCCTAAAGCACTAACTACTTCAACTCACCCGAGACAAAGTCTCAAAGTCAGGACATTCGTTTTTAGGTCATAATATGAACCACAACTGCCAGTATGTGGGATGTTTATGTCAGTTTGACCAGTACATTCCCTCCCTGTGGGAAGATAAATTATATTTAGAAGATTGCCTTGTGGACATGGAATTCAAGAAGGTTGTGGATTCAATTACTTCATGATACCTCGATCTGATCATCCTGATTTCCTTTCCCTCAGTAAGGATGTGCCTGTTCAATGAGAAATTCCTTCTCATCCTTGAGGTGTCTGTGTAGATTGTAGTTCTCCCAAGAAGCCCGGATTCCCCCAGGCTAGGCCAGGATGGTTGGCACATGTCATGAAAATAGGCCCCATATCCAGTTCCACTCTGGGTCCCCATGGGGACAATAACAAACAAAACAGGAAACAGATACCACACAAACAAACAAAAGCTTTCCTATGGGGGAAGAGACATTGTTTTGGCCAAGCAAAGGGGAGGTTCTTGATGCGATGGGAGAAAGGTGAGAAGGAGGCTGGAGAGGTGTTTTTATTCCATCATGGAAACTAGTTATTTACCTAATAACCTGTGCTTATGGGCTACAGGTCACTGCAAGACAGTGGTCCGGGGATGCACGAGGCAGCTGTGAGATTGCCCATTCCATGGGCTGCTCCAGGTCTGAAGCTTCTCAAGTTGGTCTTTCTTCTTTGGTCATAGTATTCACCTCTGACCTCTGACCCAGGCATAAGTTCCCTTGAGTTTCTCACAGCCTGATTGAAATCAAGGCATGACTACCTCATTTTTTGATCTGGCTTGAGCCCCTCTTGTGTGCCTGTATCACCTGGTGGTGCTCCACAGTGGCATTTTTCACAGGATTCTGAAATCATTTGTTTAAGGGCGGCCAGCTGGTATCGTGGGGACTGAGTGCCACGTTTGTTATGCATCTAGCATAGCTCCTGCACATAGTAGGTGCTCAGTAAACATGTGTGGAGTCAACAGTGGAAGACAACGCCAACAACATGTTCTTCTGCTTCACCTTTTTTCTTTTCTTTAAAAAATAATTTTTTTTGATGCCTTCTTACTCTTGTTAGCTTTTTTTTTTTCCTTCCTGACTACAGTCTAGGTTTTGTCTGGCCTGGGAGTTAAAATCATTCTTTAAAATGCTTGTACATACTTTTGACCTCATTCATTTTGCGTTTATTTTTCTAGGGTAATTGCGGGAGCGTTCTCTCCTTTCTCTTCATTTCCTTTTAGTGGCCGATGGCTTGTCGGCACACAGATATAAACTCATGGTGGAGAGAGGTGGTTCGGGTGGAGGGGTCAGCCCTTCCTCTGAAGAGAACCTTCTCTTGACCTCTCTGACTTTCTATGCTGTGCTTGACCAAGAGATCGGGTTTTCTCTCCATTTTCTGAGCAAAGCAGAAAAGCCAGCTTCCCCTGGCTTCCTCTCTCTTTCTAAACTCAAGAGCTCATCAAGGTGCATCTTTAACTTTCTGCCATTTTCCGGGGCTTAGGAGGAGAGCCTTGAATCACACAAGTGAGCCTTAGTTAGGAAGATATCTGAGGTTGTTCATGCCAGATGAGCCAACTAAGAGTATTTGAAATATTAAACTTTAACCTTACAAGGGCAGGGACCCTGCTGATCTCATTAAACATTATATCTTCAGTATCTGTATTATCTTGTATTCAGTAAATACTTATTGAACAGGATGAATACATAAAAGAATGACTGAGTTAATCAATGTGGCCGAACAAGGCTAACTATGGTGCATTAATCCTAATAGACACCATCCAGGAAAATCATCTTGATCTTTGGGAATTACTTATAAAGCATTTTTTTTTCAGTTAGAATATTATAATAAATTTGGGAAAAATAAGAAAAGGGGGAAAAAATAAAAGAAATCTTTCCATTAAGTTATTACCATTTGATACTGTTTCTCACTGTCTCAGTCCTCAACTTCAATCTCTTTTTGTGATGCTGGGGATTGAACTCAGGGCCTCATGCGTGCCAGGCAAGTGCTCTACAACTGAGCTACATCCCCAGCCCTCCTTTTCTTATTTTATTTTGAGTCAGGGTCTAAGTTGCCTAGGCTGGTCTGAAACTTGTAGTCCTCTGGCCTTAGCTTTGTAAGTAGCAGGGATTACAGGCGGCTCCACCGTGGCCGGACCTAAATTACTTTTCAAATTTACTGCACATACTATTTTCTAACATGTGTCTCACACGAATGGGGTATTCCTGCGCTAAAATTTTTCTTTTCTTTTTTTATGCTTGCTACCTCATGCTCTCTGTGGTTTAGTTTGTCATTTAACTTGAAATGAAACAATGACTGGTTTACTTCTAAAATGATCCCAGTTACTCACCAAACACAGCTTGGGCCATTCCTGGGTGGGACCCACCATGGACTTTACAACTATAGTTCTTGGTTTCAAGTTTTAGGTCAAGTCAGGAGGCATGGAGGATAATAGTTGTCAGGGAAGGCTTATTTGCTGTGACAATTTTGAACTGAGACCTGACTGTTAAGCTGAAGTTGGAATAAAACAAGCTTCCCAATGAAGAACACGTAAGGCAGTCGTTTTCAGCCACTGAGTCTACTTAAATTTTTTTTCTATGACTCTATAATGTTTATACATTTTTAAAGATGGCCAAGTTTAAGGATCACAGTTCATTTTTAGACGTCTTGTGTGGTACTCATTAAACTGTTTTTTCATTGAGGTAAGAAATAACAATAGTATCTGACCAAATCCTGTTGTATCTCTGGGCGTGTAGTGACGGGAGTTAAGAAATGTGATTTTCTTAGTTGCAAGAGCCTGATGGGCCAAGAACCACAGAGGGCTGTGTGATTTTCCTTTATTTCAAAATGCTAGGCCAATGCTAATGATGTCATTCTAGCAATTTTATATTTTCGAATAGATCTTTGATAATTAGAGGCCCAGAGTCTTAATCTTCAAAACTGTCTCCCTAGTTAATAATAACCAGAGATCGAGAACAATGGAGCCTAGAGAGCACCAGTGTTTGAGTGGCATTTTTCTGCTCTTTGTCATAGTTTAAAAACAGTGTTGATGTGTGTGTTTTAAGTTGTGAGTTCCAAGATTTTTGTTTGTTTTTTTAATTATTCAGACTTTTTTTTTTTTTTTTTGGATTTTTTTTTTTCCCTCTCAACTGGACTGGGGATTTTGTCTTTTATTTTTGGTTTTTGAGAACACTGACCTACATAAATATAAATGAGGGTTGCTATCAGCAAGTTAAAATGGGTCCCTAGGAGAAGAGGAGTAGAAAAGAAAGCTGGATAATGTTTAATCTGTTAATAATAGAAAGATTGTCTGCTTTTGGGGGGCAGGGAGTCTCCACATATGTCACATAGGTCAGAGAGTGACCTGTAGCATCCACACAGTACTGTCTGTCTCTCTCTCTACACACACACACACACACACACACACACACACACACAATTTCTTTCCTTGAGTTGTTTTGAGGAATAGGAAACTTCTTGGGCAGTTTCTTTTTTCTTACTCTCCTCAAGGGTGATAATTTTACATCTGTTTTCCTTTTTGTAGATTTTGTTTTTCAAATTTGGGAGTGGAGAAATTGTGATTTTCTGAGGTTTCCCTTTCTATGAATGGGCCTAGGATGGTGCCTCACCATAGGTATCCTGGAATATCAAGGAATATTCTAATGTGCAGGGAAGAGGATTGGCCACGAATCTGATAGCTGGTTTCTGGGCCACCTGGGGGGTTTGGGGGGAAAATCATTTCACCTTCAGGAACCTCTTCCTCTGTAGTATGCACCTGAAAGTGTCTGCCCCACTGCATTGCCGTGGGAGGACAGATAGGGCAGGGGATCCTATGGCTTTGAAAACTGTAAACATTGCTCCAAAAACTTTACGGTGCCCCTGGGAGTCTTGATAAATGCAGATTCTGATTAGTGGGTCTGGGACAGGGCCCAAGACGCTGTATCTCCCCGGGGTTCCCAGGTGATGCTGCAGCTTGGTTCTTGCACCACAGTTCAGTCCAAAGCTTTATGTTGTCAGGTGGGATGTTGTCATCATGAGGAGAGAAGCTGCCCACCCCAGTGCAGTGTGCCACCACGCAGGGCCTGGGGTGTCTGGAGCCTCCTGAGTTACCCAGGTGTGTCAGACACATCCCGGGTGCCTGTGCGTGCCGTGAGTGAGACGGGCAGGCTGGGGAAGCACCTCACAGTCTGAACATCTCTCATAGGTTCCATGTCATGTGAACACTGAAGTAGGAAAGAAGGGGCTCAGGGGAACGACTGGTGGGAGGAATGAGGATGTAGAGGATTCTGCAGGCAGAATTTTGTTTGGTCTAGCCATTTAGCTGCAGCTCAGCACCTGTGTGCTTTCTGTCCCCACCAATTGTCCCCTATGGCAGACATAGGTCACCTCCTCACCCTGGCCTCTTCTGACCTTAGCGTCATGCCACTGTATATTTGGTTAGAAAAGTTCAATGTGGGGCATTTATATTTGTCTAATTTTAAATAACTTTAACTTAAGGTTATGTTTTTTTTTTTTTTTAGTTTTAGAAACTTTCTTTTTAGTTTTTGAAACGTCAGAAGAATTGATGTGTGTGTATCTGCTTATTATGTTTATTGTTTATCATCTTTTTCCTGGTTGAGTGTTATGAGGTTTTTGTTTGGTTTATTGCTATACTCTAAGTATGGTGCGCATTAGAGGTTCAATAAGTATTCATTGAATATTGAATGACTTGATTACATATCTCTGCTTATTTTTTCTCCACCTCTAGATGTTTATTCTTTTCAAGAAGAGGAACCTGTTTTGGATCCTCATTTGGCCAAACACCTAGCACATTTTGGAATTGATATGCTTCACATGCATGGGGTGAGAAGGTCTACTTTGGTCTCTAATCCCACCTTGTGGGGGGATATAGGGGTGTGGGGTGGGAGAGGGAGCCGCTTAGTTTATTTAATATACCTTCCTCTAACATGGATCTTTGTTTTTATAAATTTTATGTTTTAATTGTTACATTTACTTCTTTTTAAAAAATGTATTTATTTTTAAGATACATGACAACAGTGGAATGCATTACAATCCATATTACACATATATAGCACAATTTTTCGTATCTCTGTATATTGACTTCTTGAATTTAAGTAATTTGCATATTTTTTTGGTTACCAGCTTAAATGTTTTATGTTGTAGTAAAAATGGCATCTGATCAAGTACCATATTGTTTTCGTTGGAGTTTACTTGCACAATTTCTGTCTCTTTTTGATGGATAGTTGCATGAATCACGCTTTTGTTCATCGAAGGGAGAAAGTACAGGGAGATGACCTTTAAAATTATCTGTGACCAACATCATTTTTAATTAATTTCAGGAAGGGAAGCAGAACTCCTGGGGTGGTGGAAAGAATAAGCCAACCCATTATTGTTGATGGAAAAGGCTTTGCTTCATTTATTAATGTGTGCTGGAGTTGACGTCATGACCGTAGTTTTTTTTTTTCTTTTTGAGAAACTTTTTAAGGTGCACGTTTTGTTTTAGCCCTTTCCTCCCAGACCACCTCCCTCTCTTCCTGTTCTTACTCTGTCTCCACTTTCTCAGGCATACCTGCCTTCTCACTGGTTTTCCTCACACCTCCTTCCCCTAGCAAGGTGCTCCCAGGCCCCAGGTTTTACTCCACACGCTCTCCACTGCCTCACCTTTTCATTGCTGTTTTGTGTTGCTTCTTCTCTTTAAGTCGTCTTGCTTCTTTTTCTTTGATTTCTAACTTTTATCCTCGTCCTCTCTCCTGCCTTTTCAATCCTTCTCTTTAAATCTTTTTCATGTTTTTTTATTGTGATGAAATATGTGTAACATAAAATCTGCCATTTTAGCCATTTTTTTATTTAATTGATTTTATTTTTTTTAAATACATGACAGCAGAATGCATTACAATTTTTATTACACACATACAGAGCACAATTTTCCATATCTTTGTACATAAAGTATGTTCACATCAATTCATGTCTTTATACATGTACTTTGTTTTTTTATTACAATTCTTACTACACGTATATACCACATTTCTTCATATCTCTGTTTGTATATATACAAAGTAGGTTGACACCCAATTTGTGTCTGCATGCATATACTTTGGATGATGATGTCTATCACATTCCACCATCCTTGCTAATCCCCTGCCTCCTTCCTTTCCCTCCCACCCCTCTTCCCTATCTAGAATTCATCTATTTCTCCCATGTTCCCCCTTCCTACCCCGCTATGAGTCAGCCTCCTTATATCAGAGAAAACATTCGCATTTTAGCCATTTTTTTATTATTATTTCTTACATACATGACAATAGTGGAGTGCGCCATTTTTGATTATATGGTTCTGTGGCATTGACTACTCCACATCAACGTGCGACGGCCACCGTCTCTCAGTGTCCTTTAACTAGATTTTTTATTTCTCCATGTAATTAGAAAAAAAATCAGAAATATCCATTGACATTAGAAATAATTCATGGGACATGATATTTGAATGGGAATCATATTTAAAATTATCTTTCTTTAATGACTTGGTCCTAGACAGAGAATGGGCTTCGGGACAATGACATCAAGCCCAGGGTCAGCGAGTGGGAAGTGATCCAGGAGTCGGGGACGAAGCTGAAGCCCATGTATGGCCCTGGGTACACGGGTCTGAAGAACCTGGGGAACAGCTGCTACCTCAGTTCAGTCATGCAGGCCATCTTCAGCATCCCAGAATTCCAGAGAGCGTAAGTGCCTCCCCAGCAGAGGGGTCCTGGGGAAGCCCATCTGCATCACCTTGGACCTTCTGCCACCTCATCTGTGGCATGACCTCTCATCCCGAGACTGGGTGAGAACCCTTACCAAGTGTTACAGGATCAGGGGAGATAGGGGAACTTTGGAAACTCAAAAACACTCTACAAGGTTATATTAATTATGACTTCCACTTTTAGACCACCCTGTGTGCCAAGAATATACTGATCATTAACCTCTGTGGGGAAGCTGCCCAATCCCTCCTATGGATGTGTTAGGAGAAAGCCAGTGGTTGGTTTGTTCAGTCTCTCTCCTCTGGGGATGGAGAGTTCCTTAGTGACTTAGGATTTTCATTATTTGCTTACTCGAAAGTGTGGGTCACATACTGGTGCTGTTCTTGTGGATGGTTGGATATGGGTCTGTGATGAATTAAGTATGGGTTCTGAGAGCACTTAGAAATTTTTGTAGCAGTTTTATATTGTCATGTCTTATAAGTAGCATTTCATTTTTCTGATTATTCATTTTTATGGTATTCTTTAAGGGTATTGTCCAAGTATTTTTCCAAGTTGGAAAAAGCTGGCCCCTTACCATGGACACTTTGGGAGGCACTGATTTTTGGGTGCTTCCTAACTATGCATGAACAAGGCTGCCTTCCTCACCCCACACCTGGTGGCTCAGTAGGTATGGATGTGACCATTTTCTTCCTTGGGTTGTACTTAGAACAGGAAGCCGCAGAGCCCAGGAGCTACAGCTGGTGAGCTCAGTGGTGCACTTAGGGCCACTAACTAAGTTTAGAAAATTATCTCTAGCGTGTCCCGCAGTGGGTAGGCTTTTACCTTGGTTCAGTGTGGAAGAGGACACACGTGTGTCAAGGCAGACTGACAGGCAGACAGCAGGCTAGGTATAGCACAAGGCAATGTTTTACCCACCTGGAGTTGAAATCCTAATGGCTTTAATAGGGGTTAATCAAAAGTATGTCAGTAAACCTTTTCTTTCCTTGGTATTTGAAGACTTAACCTCTTGCCATTTTCTGGCTTTGAAAATATATGGTCAGTTTTCCATATTGATTTTCATCCAGCCAATGGTGTGAGTTCTGTTCTGCTCGGCAGTGTGCTGGGTGTGTGGTGGGTGAATGGTAAATGAAAGGACATGGTTCCTGGCCCCAGGGAAGGCACAAAAAACAGGCATTGCCTAAGTAATCATAAGAACAACTATGTAGTTATAAATGTGGTACATTCCGTGAAGGAAAAGGGAAGGAGGTATCACAGAGGACTCCTTGAAGAGGGAACACACCCCCACAGATGTGTGGGAGGAGTGGGGGGGCAGGGGATTTTGGGCAAAGGGAAGAGCAAGTTTGAAGCCTCAAGATGGGAAACGCTTTTCAAAGGTGAACAACATATTATTTTTTTAAAAAATTTTTACCCACACCTCACACTTATATTATTATTCATTTGATCAGAGAAAAATGTCACTCCATCCTATGTGACTCATGCTGCAAGATCTTTTTTGGAAATGCTGAAGGAATGTCCTTGTGGGAGATAATAATAATAATTATTATTGCTTTTAAACTACAGTGGAAGAAATTTTTGTTTATTTTTCTTAAAAAATCCAACAGCATTTTTAGGGCTTTAAAATCTACTAACAACAACAACAACAACAACAAACTTCTGACAGGCCATTTGACAAAGAATTAACTTTCTGATTTTTTTTAAATGAAAAAAATGTATGTCATATTTGTGGTGTATTTATTTATTTTTTTTTAATTTAAGATTTGAATCTCCCTGTAGTCTTTGAAAAAAAATTTCTTTTTAGTTGTAGTTGGATGAAGACATGAATGGTGTGAATATACTTTGCATACAACCAGAAATATGAAAAATTGTGCTCTGTATGTGTAATATGAATTGTAATGCATTCTGCTGTCATATATAACAAATTAGAATTAAAAAAAATTGAAAAAAAGACTTAAAATTTCTTCCTATTAAGGATAATCAAACTCTTAACCCTGAAACATTTTCTACTTTTCAAAGTGACCCACATTTTAATTTATTATGTAATTAAGCACAAAAGCATACATGATTTGGCCTTTTTATTTTGGTGACATTCTCTTTGTATATAAATGCAGTTTTTTTTTAACCAAAGACAGTTATAGAAAAATGTGTAAATGAACATTGTATTTAAATGGAACAATAAATATTTTAAAAATATGTTTATGAATTTTAAAAAAAGATTTGAATCTCCCTATAGTCTTTTTAAAAAAATTTGTTTTTAGTTGTAGCTGGACACAACACCTTTATTTTTTATTTATTTATTTTCATGTGGTGCTGAGGATCGAACCCAGCACCTTACATGTGCTAGGCAAGCACTCTACCACTGAGCCACAACCCCAGCCCTCCCTGTAGTCTTGTTTCAAGAGTTTTGGAATTTTATTTCATATTATCAAATATTTTATATGCTATTTTTATAAGTTTTTACCATATATCTTAGAGCATGAGCAACTCCTTCTTATTCTTTTCCTTGTTTGGCCAAATGCCCCCGGATTGAAATACTTGTTCTTCAAGCCCCTTTTTTTCCCAGCAGTCAGTTCAGTTTAGGTGGGTCCAGGGCAGTGTATCCATTTTGTAAGTGGAAAGAGTGACTCATAGAAAGATTAGATGACTTATGAACACCACAGTGTAATTCAGAAATGTCAGCCCGATTCCTTGATACCTTGTCTGCCACTGGTTTACATTTTAACATAATTCTCATTGAGGATCACATCTAGGTAAACTGGTGTGTGACTTGAATAAGTTGGCCACATTGTCAGTTAGCAAATCTACATCTTTTCTTGGATTATCACTAGATTTTGAACTGCAAGTGTAATATGTATCTTAAAAATTACCTAACATTACTTCTGTATTTTAATTTAGATTTGTTGTAATGGAGGCTATGTCTTGTCAATTAGAAAAGGAACATAGTTGGCTGGCAAAATGGACATTTGGATGTCAAAGTTTTACCCCCTATAACTCTATGTTTGTCTACCAGTCTCACCTGAAGCATAAACTCATTCATTTTCCTGATGAGTTTTTTTGTCTTGACAGATTTTGAGATGTGATAAAAACTGGATCATAGGTGAGCTAATGAGTTTGTCATGTTGTGTATTATACAGAATCTATCAGCATGGCCTCTGTAGCTAAACAGTTAGCTCAGAAGTCTGATTTATCTGTTGTTTGGCTTTCTGTCCTTTACAAACTTCTAGATGAAATTGTTGCCCCAGTGACACATTTAAGAACAGGGACAAGGATGGGGCTGTCTATCATTGTCTACAAGCTATCTTTGGTGTAGATACATAATCTGTGAAACAAAGTCTGAGTTTGTGAACAGGAGGTGCCTTGAAGTTTCTACTAGTTGAGGGATTCAATTAGAGGTTGGTGCTAACTGCTAGTATGCCCTGGTTTTCTTGCTAGAGCTTTGTTGCAATAATGCCTGTTAGTCTGCTTTCTGTCACTGTGTACAATACCTGAGATAACCAACTTAAAAAGAGGAAGGTTTATTTTGGTTCATAGTTTTGGAGGTTTAGTCCATGACCAATTGGCCTTATTTCTTTGAGCCTGTAGTGGCACAGTATATCATGGTGAAAGTGTGTGGTGGAGGAGGCCCAGTTAAAACTGGATCATAGGTGGCCAGATTGTCAGTTAGCAAATCTACATCTTTATACCACTTGTGGGTGGTATAAAGAGAGAGAGAAAGTGGAGAGGGAAAGGAAGAGAAATGGTCGTACAATCCCCTTTGAGGGCACACCTGAGTGACCTAACTTCCTCCCACTAGGCCCTGCCTCTTAAGGGTTCCACCATCTCTCAACAATGTTATGTGCTATGGGTTGGGGACACATGGTCTATGGGGTGGGGGCACATATCCAAACCACAGCAATACCTTTTCTCTTTGGTTCTTGGAAGCCAGTTATAGAAATTGGTTGTGTGATTATATGACATGGTTTAGTCCGCCTTCATAGAGATTGCATTCTATTATATAATCTTTAGAGAGACGGATAACAAGAAAGAAAATAAATGGTATAATTCAAATAGTGAATATTTTTTCTTAGCTAAGAAGCTAAAAAAAAATTCTGCTGGAGCATGCAATAGGGAGTTAGGAAGGGTGGGGGTGGCTACTCTCTTGGCTGAGTCTGGGGAGGTGACTTTCAGCAGACCTGAGAAGGGGCTGCCAAGCAAGCATCTGTGAAAAGAGCGTTCCAGAAAAGGGACAGCAGATGGCCTGGCCTTGAAGCAGGAGTCAATCTGGAATGCCCTGGGGCACTAGGGAGGCAAATGGTCAGGGCATTGTGGGGAGTGGTAGAGTGGTGGCAGATGGGGTCAGAGAAGTGGGCAGAGTAGGGTGCATGAAGGGCCATCGGAAGGGATCTGTTTCTGGACTCCTCTTCTTAAATCTTTCAGGCGTCCACAGTCAGAGCCTGGAGGGGGAAAGAAGAACAGCACAAAGTTGGGAGGGTGTGAAGTAGGAAAGGGACTGAGGATGGGAGTGAAGGCTGGAGAGGTACTGAGGTTAGCACTGCTCCGTCAGGATGCAGCAGTCGGGAAGGGCTGTGGGCTGCCCAAGGCCAGCAGAGGGCTGCAGAGCAGGACCTTGGGGCCAGGCTGCTGGAGCCCACTCTAGGCTCAGGCACTCACTCCCTGAGTGACTTTGGAAGCTGCCTAATGAATTTGTATCCCAATTTCTCATCTCTCAAATGGGATAATGGGGATAAAAATCCCTTCCTCATATGGTTGTAATGAAAACTCAACTAGCTAATATAGAAAGCCCTCGAGAAATGGTAGTTGTCACTGTATTTATTTACTCATTTTGAGATTGTTGGAACAACTCCTAATGTTAAAGAAAAAAGATATCTGAACGCTGTCTAAGATGGTAAGGCAGACTGAATTCCAGAGGGGCCCTGGTGACAGGCATAAGGACTGCTGCCTCTTGCAGTGAGTCAGCGGTTGGACTCAATGTCCACTTTAGGGAAGGCAAGTAGGGATTCACTACCAAGCAGGGGGAGGGTCAGTAGATGGAGCAATAGTAAGAGGGAACCTCAAGTGTAAGGGGCTTCTGGCTCAACTATCTTGATAGGATTATTGCTGAAGACAGGTCAGGGTGATCAGGTACTAATGTGGGGATTTTCACTAAATGGACTCAGGATTTTCACTCAAAATAGATTCTATAAGGACATTTAAGGAAGTTCTAGGTTGGTCTAGCCAGCCAGAGGACTTGGAGGAGAGTGACTAAAGTTTTGGTCAAAGGAGAGAGTGTTCTCTAACCTAGGCTGGAGATATGTTAGGATTATGTGGGGAACTTAGTTCTTTTTTTTTTAGTTGTAGATGGACAAAGTGCTTTTATTTATTTATTTTTGTGGTGCTGAGGATCAAACCCAGTGCCTCACATGTGCTGGGTGAGCAGTCTACACTGAGCCACAACCCCAACCCTCATGGGGGGAATTTTTAAAGGAACTATAAATCCCAAGCCTCAATCTCAAGGGAGGAAATCAGAACATCTAGGGGTGGTTCTGGCTTTGGTAATTTTTTTTTTTTTTTTTGTACTAGGGATTGAATCCAGGAGTGCTATATCTCTGCCTCTTTTTATTATTTTTATTTTTTAGGGATTAGGGATTGAACCCAGGGGCACTTAACCTCTGAACCACATCCCTAGCCCTTTTTAATATTTTATTTAGAGATAGAGTCTTGCAGAGTTGCTTAAGGCCTCGTAAGTTGCTGAGGCTGGCTTTGAACTCATGATCCTCCTGCCTCAGCCTTCTGAGCCACTAGGATTACAGGCGTTTGTCACCATATTTTTGAGATAGGGTCTCACTAAGTTTCTTAGAGTCTTGCTGAGTTGCTGAGGCTGGCTGTGAACTTGCAATCCTCTTGTCTCAGCCTCCTAAGTCGCTGGGATTACAGGTGTGTAACACCATGCCCCACTGACTTTGATAATTAAAAAAAAAAAGAAAAGAAAAGAAAAAAGAAAAAAAGCTCTATAGATAATGTTGATTTTAACCAGGGTTGAGACTCAATAATGGAAGGAAGAAGCATCAAGGTTTCAGGAAGGTTCTTGAGTTTGGTGGTTGAGAAAGATCTCAGAAAAAACTGTTCCTCAGGTGGTTTGAATTTTTTTTAAAATATTTTTTTTAGTTGTAGCTGGACACAATATCCCTATTTTATTTATTGTAATGTGGTGCTGAGGATCAAACCCAGCATCTCGCACGTGCTAGGCGAGTGCTCTACCGCTGAGCCACAACCCCAGCCCCTGAATTTTTTGTTTTTAATAATTCTGTTAGTCTTTATTGTTCTCTCCCTCTCTCTCTCTCTCTCTCTCTCTCTCTCTCTCTCTCTCTCTCTCTTTTTTCTTGTGGTGCTGGGGATCAAACCCAGGGCTTCGTGCATGCCAGGCATTACTCTATATCACTGAGCCACATCCCCAACCCAGATGATTTGATTTTAATAGGAAGGCAGGAAGGTCTTTGAGAGAATGATGGCTTGTATCAGTTCTGTTCTTCTCTTAGTTCCTATGTTTTGACTATTGCTTCTCATTCCCTAGGTATGTAGGAAACCTTCCAAGAATATTTGACTACTCGCCTTTAGATCCAACACAAGATTTCAACACACAGATGTAAGTACCACATTATGTTGTTTTAGACAAAGTATCCAGTGGAGTGTTCATAGTGGTTATCACTGGGTTGTAGAATGAAAGGCAATTTTTTTTTGTTCTTTAATTCTTGTCTATATTAAGTGCTCTACAATGATCATGTGTTACCTTTATGGAGAGAAATGAATGAAGTACTGAGGAAAATTTAACAATGTAATCAGAAGCAAGCAAGGCAAATAAGTTAATTGTGAATAATCAAGAGAAAATGCTCCACCTCAAAGCAGCTATATTTATCAGAATTCAGAAATAATTTTAATGTCTCTCTAGGAAGACAACAATGAACTCTTTGCTTTTGTGTCTCTTCCTGGTCAGGACTAAGTTAGGACATGGCCTTCTTTCGGGTCAGTATTCAAAGCCTCCAGTGAAATCGGAGCTCATTGAGCAGGTCATGAAAGAGGAGCACAAGGTACGTGTCCCAGGTGTGCCACGTGGATGTGTGGGAAAGGGGGACTTCTACTAGCCAGAAGGTGGGTTTCTTTCTTTTTTTTTAAATTTGTTTTAATTAGTTATACATGACAGCAGAATGCATTTTGACACATCATACATAAATGGAGTATAACTTCTCATTCTCTGGTTGTCCATGATGTAGAGTTACATAGGTCATGTAATCATATATGCACATAGGGTAATAATGTCAGATTCATTCTACTATCTTTCCTATCCTCACATTCCCTCCCTTCCCTTCACTTCCTTCTGTGTATCTCAAAATACCTGTAGTTTTCCCTAGCCCCCACCACTTATTATAAGTTAGCATCTGCATTTCAGAGAAAACATTTGGCCTTTGGTTTATTGGAATTGGCTTATTTCGCTTAGCATGATACTCTCCAGCTGCATCCATTTACCTGCAACTGCCATAATTTCATTCTTCTTTAAGGCTGAGTAATATTCCGTTGTGAAATATACCACATTTCAGAAGGTGGGTTTCTTATGCATAGTCAAATGGTGCCTGCAAATTTAGCAAGCTGTCAGAATAGCAGTCTCATTTCAGAGTGAGTGGTGCCTCTCTGTGTGCTCTTAAAAATTGTGAGAGCCAGATTATGTTATTTGCAGGAAAATGATGGAACTAGAGAACATCATATTAAGCAAAATAAACCAGACTCAGAAAGTCAAGGGTCACATTTTCTCTCATATGTGGTAGTCAGAGAGGAAAAGAGGAAAGAAAGGGATCTCATGAAAGTGGGAGACCAGTAGGGTAGAGGAAGGGGATCACGGGAAGGAAGGAAGGTGGGGGGAAGGGAGAGACTGGGGAGTGAAATTGATCAAAGTATGTTATATGCATATATGAAAATGCCATAATGAAACTCATTATTCTGCACCAATAAAAAAAAAATTGTAATAGCCAGGTAGTGCAGTCCTGTAGTCTACCTCCTCTGGAGGATCGAGCTCAGCCTGGGCAACTTAGCGAGACTTTGTCACAAAATAAAAAAAATAAAAATGAAAAAAGGGATTGGGGATGTAGGTCAGTGGCAGAGTATTTGCCTACCAGACTGCATTCTCCAGTAGTGAAAAAAAAATTATGATAGGAATAACCTGTGTCAGGGTTTCCCCATATAGAGCATATGTATGGGCCATCCTTAATGATCTTCAGAAACAATGTTCTTTATAAATACAGCTGAGATAGAAGGAATAAACCTTATAACAATATAACATCACCCCCTCAGTGGCACAGTCTTGGCCCTTACAGTGTCCTCCTTCTCCTGATCCTCAGCTTTGTTTGCTAGTGATTCTCAAAATGCTGGTTGTTAAACACCACCACACAGGTTCCTCAACCTCTCCCCAGAGCTGAGGATTCAGAATTTCTAGGGAGGGCTTGCAGGTCTCATTTCTGGCAAGTGGTCACTCAAGTAGGAGAAACTCCATTGGCCAATCATTTTTGATTGACAGATGGATTGAAAAATAGGCTTGATCTCCCAGTACTAAACCTGAGCTCCAAGTGCCTGCACAGTGGTCTTCTCCAGGAGGTGCTATTCAGAGCCTGATCTTTTTAAATAGTGTCCTTGGAATTGTGCAGCACACGGCTGACAGAGTTGTATTCAGCACCCTTAGTTCCTATTGCTGCAGGTGTCCTGAGTGGAAGTGCATGCCCCTTCTCTACCACCTGCTGTCTTTTTGGAGTACCCTGTCTTGACTTAGTGGGCAAGCTCCTTCAAGTCTGTGTCTGATCTCTGTGCTTCCATCTTAAGTCAGTAGGCCTTAACTAATGCCTGTAGACCAAAAGCAAGAGAGTGAACATTCTCTTGTTCATATGAAGCTAGCTGCTTGTGGAAACGGAGCAAACAAGGGAAGGAAGGCTCTCAGGGGAACACAGAGAGGCAGTGTTTTGGGATGGAAAGAAGGAAGTAAAGAGGGTAGAGAGAGAAACAGACATTCTGGATGGTGAGCCCAGGACATCAGAGTGGTACAGGGTGGGAAGAACTGTGCTTCTCAAATTGCCTTGTTACCCAGCACTGCATGATGCTGTTCCTTTCCCACCAGAGGGAGTGAGACCCTCTTCTGGGACTCAGTGGAGGAGATGGTTCTCATTTGACATTCCAAAATGTGAAAATGCAAAATCAACTTAGTGGTGTTTGTAAAATTTGGTTTGGTTACTATTATAATGTCCTTTTATGCTGGTAAAAAAAAAAAGTGGTTCTTATATGAGTAAGGCACATGATTTATTCGTGCTAGAAATAATGACTGCTTAGCCCTGGTCTTTCTTCCCTCCGCATAGGGTCAGTGGACATCATGCGGTTGATCTGTAGATTCCAGCTTGCAGCTCAGTTTGCATCGAGGCATGTGACCTAGCAGCACTTGGGCCATATGTGGCCTGAAGTGTGTTTTGCTTGACTCACACAGACTACCTGAATTCCTAGCTTTTCTGAACCACCCAGAACCTCTGCCAGTCCCAGCCCCACAGTGGCAGCTGGAGTCCCACTCTGCCCTCCCTTCACATGAGACACACAGTGCCCAGCTGGCTCCAGTCCCTTTGTGGCTTGTGACCTGGCTGGTACTGGGGGTATTTGGGTTTGTGACCTTTGGTCTAGATGACTTACAAAATGCTTCCGAGTGTTGAGGCACCATAATCTAGTGCGTGGTCTTGATGAAAGAATCCAAATGTGATCTGTGTGCATTACACATCCTGGCAGTGGAGGGGAAGGCCCATCCCGCAAGAGAGGAAATGAGCAGGTCTTTGGTTCCAGTACCAGTGAGGTTCCTCTAACATTCGAAGTAGAGCACGAATTGACCTTTGTGGTCCTGCGGGTGTCTGTTTTAAGCTGTTCCTCGAAGAGACAAATAATCCATAGCAGAACTCTCTACTCCCCTTGACAGGGGATGGAATTACTTTCTGATACATCAAGATTGTCACTGGTAATTGGTTTCAAAGGGACCAGTTGTGAGAATCTTCCTTTTCTCAGGTATCTGGAGCCCTCTGGTCAAATGGTCCTGTCCCAGCCCTGTGGCAACTTAGAGATGAACCCGAAGTGTCTCACAAGAGGAAAGAAGATGCACTGAAGCAAAGAAGGGATAGATTATGAGAGGAATGAGTGGCAGAGGAGAGAGAGAGCATGAGAGAGGGATCAGAGCCTTTGGCAGAAATGCCTTTACACAGGACCACCAGCAACCATGGGAGTAATAGCTGGCATCACATTGAGGTGGCAAAGGGCCAGGCTCTTTCACTGATGCTGGAAGTGATGCAGAGGATTCTTGCCTGAAGTTAGCTTTTGAGTGGCAGACCTAGGAATCTCACCAAGCAATGTGTCTCCTGGGACCACTATACTCTCCTGTTTCCCTAAGTGGTACTTCAGGATTTGTTTTAGGTTTACAGTGTCTCAATGTGTGGATGGTAGTGGGTAGATGACAAGATGGGGCATTTTAAATTTGCAAATTACCAGCCTAATAGTGTGGGTTGCTCATCGCCATCTCATAACTTGGGTCAATTCTAGAACACATCCTTCCTGATATTAAATTGGTCTGCTTTGAAACAAGGTGAAAGTTAGTGTTTAATATATGCTTGCTTAATAAATATTTTTGTCTATAAAAAAGACTTGCAATATTTGTAGTGGGCACTGACCAATTTTTTGAATTGATTTTTTTTTTTTTTTCCTTTTGGTGCTGGGGATTGAATCCAGAGTCTTGTGCACACTAAGCAGGCACTCTACCACTGAGCTATGCCCCTAGCCCTACTGAATTGACTTTTAAGATAAGATTGCATTTGTCATAGATAATACTTTAACATTAGAGAAAAGGAGTCTTTTTTTTTGTTTTTACCCCCTGAGGGCAGGAAGGTTTCTTGAGCCCGGGAGTTCAAGGTCAGCTTGGGCAACATGGTAAGCCCTGTGTTAAAAAAATTATATGTATATATATTCTTCATCCTTATGCATATTAAGACAGTGCTTTCAAACATTTTAAAGTCAAATACTTTGTAACTTCTTTCTTCTTTTGAAGATAACATATTTTACATAATTGTGTATTTGGAATAAATTATTTCTTAAAATTAATTATGTGAGTGTTCATCTAAGTGATCCTTGACACATAATCGCTGGTCTCAACTTCTTATCAGCATGAGGTGACCAGTGTTCTATTTTTCGGTGATATAACTTAAGCTCTAAATGTAAGAACTTTGTTTTCACTGAACTCTGTTTTCCTAGTTTGGGCAAATATAACATTTCTAATTTACCTTTTGAAATATGAATAGTAGCTTGGGAGATTTGGGGTTTGGATAGGGGGTAGGAGCTAGTGGTCTAAGGTTTAAGGTTTAAGATCAAAAGTTTAAATACACAAGAGTTCATACACTTGTGCTTTGGGGACAGGCTGAGATGTGTTTATCTCCCTTTTGTTGCTTGGTCTTATAAATTCTGTGCAAGCATTGCTCTAATGTGCTAAAAATCTCAATCTCAATCTCTCTGCTTGCTGATTAATTAAAGCATTAGGCTCAGGGGAGCGTGAGTGGCTAGCATCTGGCTGTCTGCCTGGTGCACGGTGTTAAACAGAAAGTCCTGTGTAAGCTTCTGGGAGACATTCTGAACACTGTAGTCTTCTCTCTAATTTTAGCTGATCGTTTTTGCAATTGCTGATGGAGAAAGTAAGTACAGTATCCTATTAATACGACAGGTTCCCTAGGCGGTTGCTATTTTGGAGACTATTTGGGCCTCCCTGTTATAGTGACTCAGAACTAGCCTTTGCTTCAGGTATCCCAAGAGCCAGCTCACCAGAGAGAGTGCATCCTCTCAGAAGGCAGATATGACTCATGGTCATTTTGGGCCTCATTTTGTGTGTTAAGTCCATGGGGACACTCAGGGGATGTCACTGACGTGCAGTCAAGTAGGAAACATGCTTTCTCTAGCTCAATTTCTTTTTATTTTTTATTTTAGCTTTTAACGAACTATCCTATACAGAGCCTCAGCTTTCTTTTTTTAAAGAAAAAATATTTAAATTTGTATATGTACATAAAAGTGGAGAGCACAATGAATCTCAGCAGCTTCACTAGCTCAGTGATTGCTGGACTGCCCATTTTGCCAATCTGGTTCCATCAATCTTCCTAAACTCTTCCCTTTCCCTCTTTCCCCTTCTTCTTTCATTTCTCTTTCTTTCCTTTCTCTTTCCTGCAGTAATTTAACACATAATTCATAACCCTACTCTCTACCTGTTAATATTTAGAATGCATTTGTAACTATAATGCCTTGGTTGTTTTCATTTACCATAAATATTATTTAAAATGTTAAAGACATGCCAACAAAATTAACAATTCAATCTTTTTTAGTCTCATCTAATATCCAGTCCATTAGATGATTATTATTGTTTAATATGCAGATTTTTTTCCTGCAGTGCTGAAGATATCTTTCCAAAGTTATCTTCCTCTTCTTTTTGTAAGCTCTTGATTTGTTGAAGGAGCTGGATCATTTGCCCTCAATACCATGAGGTATTGCTCAACCTGTGTTTCTTAGAAACTGGTAGATAGATCTGGAGGCTTGATTAGATTCAGGCTCAACATTTTTTAGAGACTAACTTCCTCTTATCTAGATGTGAATTGAACATAGCCATAGTTGAATCTTCCCTTTGAAATCCAGGATACAGTGGGAGTGGGGCATGGGTGAAGAAAGATGGGGCCAGCTGATATTCAAGGCATGAAGCATGGAGTAGCTGAATTTAAGCTCAAGTGCTCAAACCTAGCTGCCAACCCCAGGAGCTGGTCTGTATGTAGAAAGAGGTACATCTCTCTAGGTAAGAAGCTTTTCAGATAACTTCCAGGTGATCACCTGCTCTCAAGCAATCACTGGACTGTTGATCATGGATTAAGAAAGGTTAGTTGAGGCGGGGCTTGGTGGTGCACGCCTGTAATCCCAGCGGCTTGGGAGGCTGAGACCGGAGGATCATGAGTTCAAAGCCAGCCCCAGCCAAAGCGAGGACTAAGCAACTCAGTGAGGCCTTGTCTCTAAATAAAATACAAAATAGGGCTGGGAATGTGGCCCAGTAGTTGAGTGCCCCTGAGTTCAATCCCTAGTTCCCTCTCCCACTAAAAAAAAAAAAAAAGATCAAGGGAAAACAAAGAAAGAAGATAAGCACAGAAGGGAAGAGGTGGGAGGGGAATGAATGAAGCTGGGCCACATTCCAACCACAGGGCTGTTTCTGGTGGTTGTCACCAGGGTCTCTAATGAAACTTCTCCTCTCAGTTGTATCACCACTTAGTGGCACAGAGGTATAGCCAGCTCTTCAGAATTTACTGACTTGTTGAATTTTCCAAAGCAACTGCTCTCTGTGGTCTGTGTTGGGGACTGGTGGCCACAGCACACTCGAATCACAGCTGGTAAGAAGTAACGCCCTCAGTGGCAGGCAGCGAATGCCTACTTGTGTGAGTACCTAAACAGAGAGTGCACAAATGGGAATCCCACATGATGTCTCCGTACTGTTAAGAGTGGAGAAATCATTGCTGGACTGGCCTGCAATGCTGGGTTTGAAGAAGACCTTTCCAGAATCCAGGACGTACTATCTTCTCTTCTTGGCAACTTGTTGGCTGGACTCAGTGATGAGAGGGTGAACCAGAAAGAGCATTAGGACACTCGAGAGAGGGAATGGAGAGACTGGTCTCGCAATGCAACCCTGGACCAGTTGCTTATCCTTCTGTGCCTCAGCTTCTCCTTCTATCAAGTGGAGATAATATTCATCATCACCTCTTGGGGTTGGATAAATTAAGCAAAATATGCATATACAGTGTGAAGAACTGTGCCTGGTACCCAGTAATTTTTTTTTTATCCAAGCACCTGGAATAGTGTCTGAGATTTTCTAGTACTTAGTAAATAACTGTTGGATGAATGTATAAATATTAGCCATTATGCCAAGATAAGGTACCATTATTGCATGCCTGTGTCAGCTGGTGCTATGTAGGCACACACTAGCATTGTGAGTGAAGAAAGGCACAACTTTACATACTCTTGAGGGGGATGTGTAACAGGTAGTAAAATTAACTGGGTCAGGAATAAATCGGCCTTTGTCTAGCATTGGAAGCACATTTGAAGCCATGTAAGCATGTAAGCTGATCATTTATGTTCTGGTTCCTGGTCCTCAGTTGTCCAAACACTACCATTTTGGGGAATTCTCAAAGGGCTACTAGCACTGTTTTGGGTCCTCTGTAGTGTTTCTTAACATTAACAACAGGTGTGTGTGTGTGTGTGTGTATGTGTGTGACGTACATATATAAACTCCTAGAGGGCAGAACTCCTAGTAATAGAACTCCCAGTAATGCCCTGCAGAGAGTACGTGGTCAGTAAGTACTGGATCACTAGGCCAGTAAGCCCTCAGCAAGAGGGGAAAATTCTCTGGAATTAAGTGAGAAATAATTGCTTAGAACGGGTGCATTGGAGAGATATTATGTGTAGTGCTGCCTTTGGCTGCAGGGAGATAAAGGAGTTTCTCTTCACCTGTTGAATCTGACAGTAATTCTGCAAATCCGTCAGGGACTCCAGACCATAGGAATTGGCCTTGGACGTCCATGAGAACTCAGATAGGCGTGAGACAGGGCCTGCCCCTGCTAGCACCCAGTCAGGCCATGGAGATGAGCCAGAAGCGGGCTGAAAGTCTTAATTGTGCTAGGAGCCAGTGATGGCCCAGATGGCAGGTTCTCTGGGTGTCTGTCAGAGCAGGGGAATGTGGCTTGGTAGGTAAGCAAGTGGAGGTTTTATCAAATGTGAGGCAAGTAGCAGCCATCGCATTTGCAGAGGGCAGGAACCCCCTTTGGCGCCACTGCCGAGGTGAGGTGTATTTCACTGAGCTCTGGTACGTGCTCAGTGCTCCCTGACATGTGTCTAGAGGGTTCGCTTTGTTGTTGCTTCAAATAGCCTGACGCTGGAGTCGGAGCCGAACCTGGAGTCCACCCTGTTTCTGCTTTGCTAGCTGCATGGCCGTCTGTCATTAAGACCACTCATCTGGCCCTTCTCTGCCATTCTCTTGTTTCCCTTGGTGGGGATAAGCAGAGAACCTACTTTCTGGGGTTATTGTGGTATTAATGGGTCAACAGGTGTCACCATTGTCAGGTGGGTGAACTTGGGGTGACAGCTGGGACATGGGTCTATCAGGGGCCTGCCTCTAGCACCAAAGGCCATGTAGAATCTTCCCACCTCCTGAAGTGTAGGTGAGTTTTCTAGATTTCTAATACTGAAAAGTCCAGGTCATATCAAAGCCACTTGAATGCTTCTCCCTTTTACCAAGTCGGGAGTCTTAGGAAACAGTAGTACAGGAGGGTGGGTGTCACTGATTTGTATATATATTTTAATTTTATTTTTTCCTTTTGTCCTTGATCCACTTCTTTGCCTCCTTTTATTCCCTCTGTCCCCTTCAGAGTCGAGGGTCAAGTAGGATGGGGAGATGAGGGACCCACCTCATCCAGAGGGACCCACTTCACCTAGATAGTGCTGTTTGGCCCCCTCTTGGCTGTCACATGTTTTGTGACATGGCTGGCCTTTTTTTGTGGGGACACATTAGTGGTTCTTTTGAGATGCCCCCTCCAACATCTCACCTCCCCATCTCAGAGACCTTGCAAGGACATTTCCTTGAGGTCCTTCTCTTCTGACCTCTGAACCCTCCATCCCAGGTCTCATCCTGAGCCTCCTTTGCTGGCAGACAGCTCACCAGCATGTGCTGGGTCTTTTGGGGGGATGCCTGGAGGCCTTCTGAGCTACCCGCTTAGCCCCCGGGGAAGTTCATCATCTTTGTCCTGACATACTCGCCCCAGCCTCCTGCTCTTCCCATGCTGCCCTCCTGGCAGCTGCAGTGGCCTCTTCCTGCTTCTCCAGATGAGGGGCAAGCCCCGCCAGCTCCCAGGAGCTCCCTGTGTGCTGATCCACAAACAGTGCAGGGTGGATCAGGACTTTGGGAAGCTCTGCGTTAGGTCACAGGGCCATGCAATGCCATTTTCCTTCCTTGCAAACACCCTGACCTTTGCTCGAGGTTCTTTTCTGTACCCCCAGGGAGCAGAGGGGAGACACTGTGGAGCATCCTCCTTTTTACCTTCCCTAACGTGTCAGCTCTGAAATGGTCTGTGACAGAGTGGTTTGGCCACCATGTAGCAGGTCCTGTAAAGATGGGCCTCGTGTCTGTCTTTACGGGTGGAGTGTTTATCACCCACTGTCCTTAGTCTTGAGTCCACAGAAAGAGTCCCAGCCTGTTCTCCCATAAGGCTGCAGTGCTTGGCCAATGCTAAACACCCAGTGAATGTTAGCCTTCATCCTTATCTACTCTTCTTGGGCTTCTGTGTTCTCATGTGAGAAATGAAGTTCACGATCAGCTCTGCTCTGCCTGTCAATGTGTGTGAAGGTTTTGTAAGTCAATTTTATATTTCTGTTTAGCCTCAACAGAATGGGATCTCTCCACGCATGTTTAAGGCCTTTGTCAGCAAGAGCCACCCAGAGTTCTCCTCCAACAGGCAGCAGGATGCCCAGGAATTTTTCTTGCACTTGGTGAATCTTGTAGAGGTGAGTCTTCCAAAATGCTCAGAGAGCTGTAGAAGTGCGCGTGGGAGTCCACTGCGGCGTGACCAAAATGCCCCAACTCTCCTTACCTCGGTCTCTGTCTTGCAGCTCTCTGGGCCCAGGGCACTTGATGTGACTGTTCCTCAAGCCCTGGGTTCCAGAGGCTGGTGGATCTGCCAGAGCTTCTTTTAATCTGTGCATATTATAGGTGTGTTTATCAATTATTTCATTGGCCTTTGTTTTTGGTCCCTAAACAGAGGCCCTGGAGAGCCCCACGCGGTACTTGGTGTCCACCTGCACAGCTCAGAGGTCACACTGCTCTCAGCAGAGTTGAGTCATATTAAATACTGTGGTTTTTAAAAGCTGCTGAAAATCCTAAGGCCTTTGTCTCCCCTTAAAAAAAACAACAATCTTTCCCCCCCGCCTCTCTTTCTGATTACAAAATCCATCTATACGGTCACATCATACATGCTTTAATTTTTCCAGGACAATTATTTCCTCCCTTTCTTTCTTTTACATTTGGGTCCTACCCTCTCTTTCTTCTAATTCCATTCATGTTATGTTGGTCCTTCGGCCATGATTTTTTTTTTTGTATTTGGGGATTGAGCCCAGGGGTGCTCTACTGCCGAGTTACCTCCCTATCTCTTTTTTTTTTTTTTTTGAAAAAAACTTTGAGACAGGATCTCAGTAAGTTGCTGACACTTGGTCTCAAATTTGCTATCCTCTGGCTTCAGCCTTCCAAGTTGCAGGGATTACAGATGTTTGCCATTATGCCCTGCAGGCCCTCCATGATTTTTAATGGCTGCATAATATCACTTCACAGATGAACTAGAATTTATTTAACCAATTCCCCAGTTTTGGATGTCAGATAAATTCCAGTGTTTTGTTGTAAAGTACTCTGATGGACTGTCATGAGCAGGGGAAATGTTTAGTAAAACAGGTCTTCATAGTAGGTTGACAGTTGATATTATGTTAATTTTTGTTCGTGGCTGTTAAACATTGCTAAATTTACTAATGTGATATGATCCAACCTTCAGAGGAACCGCATCGGCTCAGAAAACCCGAGTGATGTTTTTCGGTTTTTGGTGGAAGAGCGTATTCAGTGCTGTCAGACCCGGAAAGTCCGCTACACGGAGAGGGTGGATTACCTGATGCAGTTGCCCGTGGCCATGGAGGCAGCAACCAACAAGGGTAACTGTTCCAGAGCTGGAAACCAGCCCCGTGTGGCGTTGTTTGGGAAAACCCTGCACCAGAGGCAGAAGGGGGGATTCAGGAGCAGCCAGGGCTGAGACCTGTCGGCATCTGGCTTGCACATCACCTGTCACCTTTTCCTTAATCCCTACGGGACTTTGGAATGCATTGCAGGTTTTATGGAGGCATTCTGGGTGGAACCTACTTTAATGCCTATAAATTTGGCCAATTGGTTGGAGTCAGTGTGACTTTGGGGGAAATTATTTGTAATGGTGGAGGTAGAAGGTTCTTTGACATCATCCCTCATAGGTAGTCCTGTGAGGTCTGAGGGAAATGATCAGGTCAGGACTGCCTTTTTTGGTGTAAAGGGGTAAGTAGAGGTCAATCTCTTGAAATAAGTCGGCTTTCGAATCTGGCACTGTTTATGGCACCTCTAGTGGGATGTTAATTGGGGCAGGGCACTTTGTAGGAGCAAGGCCCATTAGAAGGGTCTAGAGACTTGGGAAGGGAGAACAAGCTAGAGATACCTTAGCATTGACAGGTTCTTGGAAGTTTCTTCTCCTTCCATCAGTCTGATCCAGTCCTTCCCAGGCAAAATAGATGAATGGTATTAGAATTAATATCTCAGAGGAGAGAGAGGCAAAATGGCTATTGGACTGCTTATCTTTTGGAAGCTGGTCATTTTTGTGAAGTTCAACATTTCCGTGGGTGACCTCTTTTCCAGTGTGTGTGTGTGTATGTGTGTATGTGAGAGAGAGAGAGAGAGAGAGAGAGAGAGAGAGTCAGCTTATTGTAGTTGGAAAGTGATGATCATAATGATTTTCAGATGAAATGATTTCCATCTTCTATAAGCTCATATAGCTTTTGACCAATTTTTAAGCTGTTATCCATCATGCAAGGTAGAGAAATAGGGATGTATGGTTTGTTTCTTTTTAAGAACTGGGGTTAATTGGTCTCTCTTGCCCATCTCAGGGCTGCTGACTTACATGTCCTGCTCAGTTCCATCAGTCTAAATAACAGAGAGATTCCCCAAAGATGAGTGGGTTTATTTGGGAGCTGCATTGCAAAGGGAATGTGCATGCTTTAGGAAACTCTGTAAGTATTCCAAGAGGTTGAGGAAAGGGGGAAGTTTTGAAGGGCAAAACGAGGAGAATAATGTGAGTTGTTTCCGTACATTAATCCTTGGTTCAGTGATCAGTAATAAGGGTGGCTTCTATCGAAGAATGAACAGTACTGGGCAGGTGTCCTTACAGAAGTATCTTCGGTGCAAGGTTGTGGTGGACTTTGTGTGAGGTTGTGGTTCCGACAGTCTTTTGTGACAGTTCTTGTTATCAGACATATAAGGATGACATCCCTTCTTTCAAAACCTCCCTGCTTAGTGTACTTTTGTTGTTAGGGTTTGACAAAAGTGACTCCATTTTGATTTTAGCCACTTTCACAATCCCATGGTCTCTAACTCACCATTTATAATTTAAAGGTGGTAACTATCTTTTTTCTCAAAAGGATATTTACAATTTAGTCACTGGAAATTGGTCCCTAGGGACCCTTAATGTTCTTATCACATATAAGTGCATCATCAAGTAATTGTGGACTAGGGAAATGAAATAGGAAATAAAATTGGAAAATACATGTGTGTATAAATGGGCTTAAAAACTGACCTGTCAGGAATGAATTTTTGTTATTGTTAGTTGGTCACAAAGGAAAAGAATTGACCAGAAAGGCCATTCAAAATACCTGTGAAGTTTTGTCTGCAGTTAGTTTCCAGGGACAGATCTGCTGACTCCTGGGAGGTTCCTTGTGCACTCACTTCTTTTTCCCTCAGAATTTGATCACTTAAGGAGGGATCATACAAAGAGGCTTCCAGGTGGACAGGTGGGCTGCTTTGACATCTGAGGTGCTGAAAACCTTGACAGGCAGCCGTCTTGGCAATGTTGATTGTCACAGGAGGTGTGATGGCAGAAAACTGCAGTCCTCATTTTCATCCTCCTCCTTGGCCCCACAACACCTTGGAACCTGTGACCAACCATAGTTGCTGATGGAACCAAATCAGAAAATGTGTACCGTGGGGTCTGGTGATATTGAGGAGCTGTAGTTCTCTTTATTTATTTATGTTTTAAAAACTCCTCCTTTGGTCATTTTATTTTAGGACAGTTTATAAAGTTCACAGGAATATTTCCATGTTTTTGTGTTTGATCCTTTGCAAGATTTGACCACTGGACACAATTTAGCATCCCTTTCTGGCCTCATTTGTGGGGTAGTAGGGGGGTGCTAATCAGGGTTTTAAGTCTGACTTTGTCAGTGATGAACTGGTTTTGAACTTGGGCCTCAGTTTCTTTACAAGGGAGTGAGAGGCTTGGGAAGAGGTGAGACCTGGGATCTCTTTTAGCTTCAGAGTTCTCTGGGGTGAAGGTCTGTGTTTTGGAGGGTGGCATTTGGGCAATTCCAGGATTGACCTCTAGGCAAATGAAATACCAGGTTCATGCACTATTATATCACATGCATGATCTGAACCAAGCACAGTCTCAAACAGGAAGAGAAAAAGGTGAATGACTGGTTGCAGCCTGTCAGTGCTACTCCAAAGACATTCCAGAGAGCATGAGCCTTATCTGGATCTGAGAAGGGCAATTATCTCTCTCTCTCAGACCCGGACTTAGCCCAAGAAGCCTTCAGGGAAGATTGTTCAAAGAGGAGGTTTTTCTTTTCAAGAAGACCAGAGGGATTGCAAGGTCATTCTTTTTTTTTTTTTTTCTCATTCAGATGAACTGATTGCCTATGAACTAACGAGAAGGGAAGCAGAAGCCAACAGAAGACCCCTTCCCGAGCTGGTGCGAGCCAAGATACCCTTCAGTGCCTGCCTTCAGGCTTTTTCTGAACCAGAAAATGTTGATGATTTCTGGAGCAGCGCCCTACAAGCAAAGTCTGCCGGTGTGAAGTGAGTGTGTGTGGTCCTGGGTCAAGGAGGGCGGGGCCTTGAGAGGTGGGGACAGGGGTAAGGGAGAGGAGGCCGGGTGTTCCAGGAGTCTGCATATGCTTGTTCCTGTGTGGTGGGATTGGATTATGAGTCATACCCTCTGATGGTCAAGGATTACACCTACCTGAGACCTGTACTTTAAGACAGGCTTATATTTTATATTATGCACTAAGAAGGAAAGGGAGTGCTTTTTTTTTTTTTTTTTTTTTAGTGCAACATTTTGATTTGTTCTTTGTTAGGAATTTGCCTTTCTTTTTAATTTTTTTTTCTTTTCTGAATTTTTGTTGGTGTGAAGATCTTACAGTCAAGACACATCCCCATCCCCACGTGACAAGAATGATGATTAATGAAGAAATTATAAAACTCTTTATGTCAGGCTTCAATATTTCAACTCCACTGGGGTATCTCTTAGTTCTGTAATCAAGATTTGGCTTTGAACTTGGTTGACTGTGTTCCCATTTGAAGACTCGGAGTCTCAGGTCACCTCAAAGTGTGGATAAGGGCTTCTGAACATTGTTCAAAGGAGCTGATCAGGACTTGGTTAGGAGATGTCCTCTGTTCATATTGTGAAGCTGGTTGTCAGATCCATGCAATTTTTTTTTCTGTACTTGGCACCTTACTTGATTTGATACAGTTGGTCCTTGCTAACATACTATTTGTTGCTGCACTTAATTGCAGAAAGAGTTATAGTCCTATGAAATGAGGGAGGGTCTGCAAGTTTGGCTCTGGGAGTTTTGCTACTTTTAGATATTCTTTGGCCCTTCTTTGAGGCTAAGTTTGAACTCTCAATTGATGCAAACAAAGCTCAGTGAAGGATGGAGAGCTTTTGCTGGTTGTTTTTACCATACCTCAAGGAACAGTCAAGCCTGGAATCAGTTATACTCTGCAGAACCCATCTCTCAGGATTCTGCTTTATTTCAGGTTAGAGATTTCACATATTAAAAATGGGAAAGGAAGACAATTGATTTCAAAACAGAAAAAAAAAGAAGCCATGTTTTCTTAAAATAATTTTTAAAAAGATCCATACTCAAATGAGGACTACTAATAGTTCATTTAGTTGTTAGCTATCCATCTTGGGGTAAGTTTTCATCCCAGTATTCCGGGTTGGGTTGTGTGTTTTGTGTGTGTGTGAGAGAGACATATTTGTGTTGTGTTGTGTTTGTGCATGTGTGTGTGTTTGTGTCCTTGCTGATGACATGTGAGAGAGACACCTCGCTGTAACTTGGAGACGCCTTTGGGCAGTGAGAAATCTTCGCAGCACATTAGTGATGGAGGAGTTTCTTTAGTCATTGACTGTGGATTGAAGATTCTTCAAACATTTGTTCTTTTCTCTTTGTGCTTTTGTTGTGATTCTGTATGGGGCGTAGAAAGGGATCATGGACCTGGGAGCCTAGAAATCCCCAGGCCAGGTGTAAGCTGCAGAATGGAAGTGTTCTTCCTTTCCCTGGACCCTGGCCACTCCTCTCTGCTCTTCGGAACAGTGACCTGGTGCCTTAGCGTGCTGGGTGCGGCACTCTGTCCAGGCCTGCCATTCCCTGCATGTGACCTACCAGGAAGGAGCCTTCTCAACACTTGGAAAAGGCCCATCTTTAAAATGGGGCTGGAAAGCATTTGCTTTCCACAGATGGACAGATCCTCTGAGCCCTGGGCTGGTGTTTAGGAGATCCGGATTCTTCTGTGTGCACTTCTCGGCTTGTCTTGGGTTTTGGGCAAAGTCACTCCCCAGTGTTCTTCTCCCATCTGTAATGGAGAAATTTCTCCATCAAATGCTACCAGAATATTCAGGTGTGGGCTGTGCTAACATCTAGAATCCTTGAGGAGTTTCTGTAGTGCTTCAAAGTAACTATTTCTCTGCACACACACATGCCCTGCTATTTTTTTTTTTTTTAATATACGTGAAAGAATTAGTACTAGGTGTATGATGATTGTTAGTAATGGAAAAAAATGGTTCTTGTTGGAAAGAAAAAAAATGTTAAAAATAATAAAACAATGATCATTTATTGCACATTTATTGCCAGAGCATGAGTCAGACAGTTCCCATTGGTTATCGCATTTAGTCCTCTTCGTAGTGTGAGGTAGGTGCCATTACTCTCCCATTTTACAGATGAGGCAATAAAAGAAGTAATTGGCCAGCAAAGGGTAGACTTGAGATTCATTCAGGTCTGACTGAGTTTAGAGATTAAGTTCTTAAATGCTGTACTATGTAAGGACCTTCTATTCCTTAACAGGCTTATATAGATTTCCTTATTCTTTATTATGCTTGGATCAAATACTGTCTTCGGGAAAATCAGTTAGTGGACTCTAAACATTATTAGTTTTGCTTTTTTATTTCCAGCCGTGACTCAGCCTATACAATGTTAATTTGGGAACTTGAACATTTCTTTCATTAGACCCAGAGCCTGAAAGGCCAGAAAGAGGCAAAAGGTGTCCTAAAGATCTTGGTGGACCTCGTGGGTCACTGTGGACCTGACATGATGGCCCTTCCCTTATGTGGTCCCAAATGGACCATGTCTGGGAAGAACATTAGGGTCTGAAATGTTCATTCACCCAGCAATTGTTATTGTTCCCCTAGTGTATTCTAGATAGCCAGAGGAGCAAGATGTGGCTCCTGCCCTCAAACAGCTCTCAATAAAGGGTTGAGAGAGAGAGATTTCCACTCACCCTTTATCAGTCATGCAGAGAAGAGCGTGGTGTAGGCTCTAGAGCACACCCTTTAGGTCAGCTGTGTGGCCCTTGAATCTCCAGTCTAGACTTTGGCCACTTGACCTCACCTCCCCAGGCCCTGGGTTCCTCATTTGTGAACTGGTATAATACAGGTATTTTCTTCCCAGAGTTGAGGTGAGGATTAAGCCAGCTAAGCCACTAAAAGCGCTGTGCACAGTGCCTGGCACAGAGGGACTGCAGGATGCCAATGTTATTAATCTTCATCTTTCTTTTTTTTGGGGTGCTTGAATTATATGAGTGATTGATTAATTATCGTATTTTCAATGTACTTATTAAAAGGGGTAGAATTTTCTTGTGTGTGTATGTTTTATTTGCCAAATTTTTAATAAAATAGACAATCATTTTAGGGAGAGGGGTAGCTTGTATTTTTTCTTAATAAAAAGTCTTCATAGTATTTTTGCCTTAATTGTAATTAGCGAACAATTGGCATATTCTAAATAATGTTAATAGGTTGTCAATGGTGTTTTCAGGACCTACTCTTAAGGGCTTTATGTGTTTTGACTCATTTAATTCCCATAATGACTTTTTGAAGTAAATTATATGTCCATTTAGACCAGTGGAATGATTTATATACTGATAGCTTTTCTTAAAAATGCACGGCTTTCAAGAAAAATTTTAATTCCAGGAATTGATTTTTGGGAACAAAGAGTATATAAAAGAGCATAATTTATGACATTGTTATATTTAACAAATTTTATGACCCTGAACAGGGATTAATGGATGTAGAATACTGTTACTTTTGAGATGAAATGAACAGGTTCATATTGAGCAGTTGCTACGTGTGTGGGTCAACTAGAGCCCCTATTGAGGCTGTAGAGACAAATAAAGAATGTTTAGGGTGAATCCAGTGAGGAGACATGTGTCCTGATCTCTCACCCTCTTAGGTGATGCGTCAAATGACCCCCGCCATGCCCTCCCCAACCACACATTGCCCACCACCCACATAGATTTGGCAGCTAAAACTTTACCTAGATGCTGACCCAGAGCCATGGCAAGAGCCTCAGGACTCCTGCATCATATTTAAAATCATTGATTTAGTGATGACTTTTGGTGGAATTCACTGTTAGGTATTTTCCAGATTTTAACTTACTGTAAGAAGAGAAGGTCAGAAAAGCAACATCTTTGCATTAGTTGAAAATATAATACCAGTGGAGTTTGTTGGGTTTTGTTGAAATTGAGGACTTTGCTACATTTGAATAAGAGTGATGTTTATTACTGCTTTTCAGAAGATTGAAAAACCTAATTAGAGATAATATAAATTTCTGGAGAAAGCCAGGATTTCCTTAGCATGACAAAGCTCCTGTTTTCTGGATGGCTCCCTTATGTTATTGCCTATAGCTGCCTACCATCCTTGTGATGGAGAATTTGGGATACAGAGAGGCTTACATAACTTGTCTGGGGTAAAATAAAAGTCAGCAATACATTGATTCAGTGTCTTAGACCTCAAGGATTAACAAAATTCATGGCAATTTCTTAGGCATATATCACATTTTCTGTTGTGCCAAGTGGTTTTATACTATTTCGTGAACATTACACAGCCATGGAAGGTAGATTTTATTAATAAATCCATTTTTAAGGTGTATAACAGAGCCTCAGGAGTGTCAACGATTTGATGAGATTTGGAGCACATTGAGGGACATAAAGACCTGAATCCACATCTTTCCGCTCTTGTTGTAGTGTTCTCTGCCCTATGCTATTGCTTCTCTTTTACACTAGAGGGCAGCATTGCATTTGCTTTGTGAATTATGGGCTGATGCATTCTAAATAGAAGGCCCCCGGGGTTCAGATTTGAAAAGTGGGGTCTTTGCAAGGGAGTTCTAGAATCTTTACTTGTAATATTTGTCTAGTATTCATTTTCTTTTTTACACACACCTACCACACCCACATTGACTACAAAAAAGAGTTATAAATGTGGAGCGAATGAGCTAATCCTGGGGTGTAAATTTGGTATACAAATTGAATAATCTGCATAAAACTGTCAAACCCAAGCTCAGGTATTTTGACCTTTCTGAAAGTTTGAGAGAACACAAGATATTGCACACATTTATTAATTTTAAATTTTAAGTCTCAGATTTAGATAGTTTATATAATTGTCCCATAACATAGCTACCTTTAGGATCAATGGATTTAGGTACAGTACTATTTAATGAGGCCCTGGAATTTCTAATAGTCCACCTCAACCAAAGTTCCAGTAAGCTGTCCATATGCCAATTCTTTGTGGTTAGGTAGTGATTCTCAGTGGGAATGGAAGGATAGGTGTTTCAGGATCACTCAGGGAGCTTTATAGCCACTCAGTGCTATAAAGCACACACGCCTCTGAACACCTACAAACACAGAAGCTATATTCCAGTAAGGAGTTTAGAAAAACCAATGCTTGAAAGTACGTTTCAGAAATATAAAGTGTTGCAGCAAAGTGAAAGTAATAATTTTGAGATGGGCCCAAATCATTCTCAAGAGACAAGATTCTTCCACATTGAACATTTTCTTCTTGGGGAGAGGCCAGATGGAGTGAGCAGGAGTGAGTGTGTGCACACTTTATGACTGTGTTTGTGTGTGTGTGTGTGTGTGCTCAGGCCAGTCACAGGAATTGTCAGGTGTGCTTCAGACACAGCTTATTTTGCTTCGTGAACTGTATTCACATTTTTTTTTTGACCTCATTTGATTAATGTAATCCCCTTGTGTTTCTCAGAACGTCCCGCTTTGCCTCATTCCCAGAATACTTGGTCGTGCAGATAAAGAAGTTCACTTTTGGTCTTGACTGGGTTCCCAAAAAATTTGGTATGTATCTTTTGCATGCTTTTGCTTAAAATGTCAACTTTGCCATTTAAAACACATGGCCTGTGACAGAGCCCATGTCATTGACTCCACAAACAGTTCCATCACATTCTTTTTTCCATTATTCCTGCCTTTCCCTTTTGAATACAGGATAGGCACTAATGATTAAAATGACCACATACCAGTCCACTCCCCTCCAGTAATGGGTGTGGAAATGACCAGATTCTGAGAGTGAAAGCTGGGCTCTCATGTCCTACTCCCTGGGATCTTAGGAAAATGCGGATGCTGATTCTGCAGGTCTGGGGTGGACTGAGATTGTCCTTCTAACAAGCTCCCAGGTGCTGCTGGCCCAAAGACCACACTTCGAGTAGCCTTAGTTGGAGTATGCCTTCTTCCTAGCATCCCTCCTTTGCCTCTGAGGCAGTTGGGTGTAGCTAGTGACATTCCCTTAAATCATACAAATCTCCTTAATAATCTAATAGAAATGGTTGCATTAAACAATCAAAAATGGGATGTGATTCTGACTTCATTGGGCTTTATTCTTGCTAATTGTAAAGGCCCTTGACCATTGTTAGAGTTTAATTTTCCAGACAATGCTTAAAACCTTTTTCTCTACAATCAGGATTGAATATGAAGGCTGTTAGGCTGCCCTCCGTGCTGTGGAAAAGATGTATAGTTTTACCCCGCGATGTGTAGTTTCCCAAGCAGGTACTTACGACTGCCTGTTTTACAGTTTCTATGTTTTTGAATACTTATGGAAACAAAAGAAAACAAAACAGTGCAAATCTTATGGCTAACCAAGCACTCGCTAGAGGAGATAGGTAAAAAGAATGTAAAATCCACTGGAGGATTCCCAGGACCCCTGGGCACTGTCAGATACAAGGCCATTGTTTGCCAAGGGAAGTTGTGTTGGAGAGGGCCACTGAAAACCAGGGGCCCTTGCTTTGGCTGCTGGGATGGTTTCTGGATGGAGTGGGGCTGAGAGCAGATGCGGATCACCCAGCTTCTCTGCTGGACCCTGAGAGAGCCTTTAAGTACCTGAGAGAAGAAACTGATTTGTTCTAAAGGCTTTGGCCTGCTTTGGAAACAGTCTCCTTATTTTTCCTTATCCTTGGAATTTCTATAAGGAACAAAAATTTGAATCAAACTTTATTGATTTGCTGAATATCATGGAGTCCTAAAGCTAGACATGTTTTTTGTTTTTTGATACTGGGGATTGAACCCAGAGGCTCTTTACCACTGAGCCACATCCCCAGCCTTTTTTAAATCTTTTTATTTTGAGACATGGTCTCCTTGAGTTGCTTAGGGCTTCGATAAGTTGCTGAGACTGACCTTGAACTTTTAATCTTCCTGCCTCAGCCTCCTGAGTTGCTTTATAGGGATTATAGGTGTGCACCATTGTGCCTGGCTAAACCTGAATTTTTAATGAACCTGAATTTTCCTCATGAGGAAAAATTGTATCAATTTTGCTTCCCCCTGAAATTAAAAAATAAATTTAAATAAAAACTTGACTTTGTTCTTTGAGTTGTTCTAAAGTAGGATATATATTCCCAGAATCATAAATGGTTTGGGGGACAAAATTTTTCAGGTTCTGTTTGCTTGCCATAAGACATCCTGCCCCAGCATTTGAATTTGTTTTCCTTATTATTTTATCTGAATATATGCAATGCTAAGTCTCCACATGCTATTATAAATTTTGTATATGAGTAAGTCAACAACTGAACCAAAAAAGGGTTTCAAGAAAAATGTGTCCCTAGGACTCATGCACTTGAGATTTAATTAATTTCTTTAGAACTTCATTATTTATTAGATCACAGTACCTATCATGATTTGAGAAAGCTGTCAACTAGGATTGCAGACTCAAATGCCTAGTAAAGACAGGGTGTAGTAAACTAAATGAAAGACGTAGGCTGGGATAAGAAATACACAGCCATGATCTTGGTAAAGACATAGATGAGAAAATCATCTCTCTGCCATAAGAATCAGAGTGTGAATATGATGTTTGGGGTTGTAGGGGTAATAGGGAAGATCGGGGTCTGTGTCAGAGCGCCAGTGTCCAAGTAGAAGCTGAAGATCAACTCCAGGTAGTTGTTACTGTATAAGAATATGCTACTGCTTCATGTTTTTCAAAATAAGTTGGAAACCTGAAACTTTAAATGAACTTTAAAGATTTAAAAATTGGAATATGTTGCCATCATCTGAAAAACACCAAATAGAATGTGTCTAGGTCATGACTGATCTATGAGCTTCCAGTCTGTGACCTCTGGCTCAATGGATTTGTTCTCCGTTGAGTGGGAAATCCTGCTGCCCTCTATACTTACCCAAATTCTCCGTTAACCTCTCATTATTCTCGATGAATCTGCTGGTCTGGTGATCTGTGTGCTGACCGCTCCTTCAGCTCTGCCTAGACACATGCAGATAGATTCCGTAGTCCTGGTTTTATAATTAGGTGATTATGGAGTTTTGGACAGTCCTGTGAATATTATGTCTCTCATTTTTGCAGACGTTTCTATTGACATGCCAGACCTACTTGATATCAGCCACCTCCGAGCCAGGGGGTTACAGCCAGGAGAGGAGGAACTTCCAGACATCAGTCCCCCCATAGTCATTCCTGATGACTCAAAAGGTACCCGGCCTCCAGGAGCATGTGCTGCACCCGCCACCCTCCTCCACAGGACCATCACTTTCTTAGTGATGGTCCTGTGGCTGCCTTCCTGTGATGTGGCCCATGTGGCCCACCATAGATAACACAGAATTGAGGCGTGGCTGCAACTTTAAACTAGAAATTCACCCCACAAGGGCACAGACCCATCATGAGTAGTTGAGGGGGAGAGTTTTTAGGTTGTATTGTCTCTGGCTGTGGCTTTCTCCCTTCAACTCCCCCTCTGCTTCCCCCAAATGGGAAAAGGAGTTGTTTCCTGCCTGTGGGGAAGAGGTGTCTTCAGTGGCTCATAGTCTAGGGGACTGTGTTATTCTCGCCAATGCCTCGAGACAACCGAAAAGGGCCATTCAACAGGGTGTGTTGGTTTAAAAAGTCTGGATCAGATTTCACCTCTCCAACTTTGTCACTGCTTCTTAGCAAGGGCATGCTTTGAGTTTCCTCTTACTCTGATCACTAAATTGGTCATCGTTCAGGATCTAGAACTTTATTTTTTTGCAGTGCTGGAGATGGAACCCAGGGCCTGACACATGTTAGGCAGGCGCTCTACCAGTGAGCTGCACCCAGCCCTCAGAATACAACACTTTTTTTTTTTTTTTTTTTTGGAACCAGGGAGTGAACCAAAGGGTACTTAACCACTGAGCCACATTCCCAGCCCCTTTTATCTTTTTTATTTTGAGATAGGGTCTTGCTAAGTTGCTTAATGCCTTGCTAAGTTGCTGAGGCTGGCTTTGAATTTGTGATCCTCCTGCTTCACCCTCCTGAGCCACTGGGATCACAGGTGTGTGCCTTGGCACCTGGCTAGAATACATAACTCTGTAAGGGAAAAGTACAAGCAAAAAATAGGTGCTTTACCTTCATGGGTTGAAAAACAGTGTCATAAATTTCTTGGTTTAATTATTAGCTTAGTTCTTCTGATTAAATCAGTTTCATTCTGGCTTTGTTTGCTCACCTGTTTGCCGTTTGTCTTCCTAATGAGTTCATTAGGTAAATTAGCTAATAATGATAGGGCCCTCTGGGCTCCTCTGCCAGGTTTCCCATCAGTTGAGTAGTGAAGGTTATTGCTGATGTTCAGTCCTGCAGAAGGGTGAGAGGAATGCCCAAGGAGTGAGATAGGAGTCAAGGCAGGACTCTGTTAAATTGTTCTCTAATGCAAAGTCACGTGCTAAATTATAGAGACAGGTGAGAAGGGAGCTGCACAGGAGGCCCTCTGGGTCATGTGGACAGGTGGTTCCTGAGAGGGGGTAGGAAGGAGATGTATGAGCATCACAGAAGCACAGGCTGGTTAATGAGCATAGCTCTCATGCTTTCCAATGTTTCTAACAGAGTCCTTGGTTTGTAATTATACAGAGTTCTTCTTAAAAGTACTGGGAGAAAAATTGAGTTCATGAAGATGCTAATCAGAACATTATGTCTTATCAGTTCTAAATGCCCCAAACCTGTTATTTTCCCTCATGACTGTAATCACTTTATGTTATGAAGACTGCAGTGGTCTGTGTGGGGCCCTTAGGGGTGAAGGGTTTAGGGAATGCCCTGGATTGATGGTTTTTCTTTTTCTAAAACTCTTGGACAGGGCTTGGTCTCATTTTCTGCTCTCTCCCTTAATTTCCAGATCGGCTGATGAACCAATTGATAGACCGTATGTAACTTTTTAAATATTTCAGTAGTTATTTTTCTGTGACAGTTTAGCAGAGTGTCATTTTTCTGTGTGTGTGCATGTGCGTGTGCGTGTGTGCGTGCGTGCGCGTGTGTGTGTGTGTGTGTGTGTTTAGCCTTTCCTGGGTGGGAACCATTCTTTGTGAGTCGAGGAAGCAGTAAATGTAAACCAATGCCGTGATGATTAGGTAGTCCTCGCGCTCAGGAACGTGAGAGCCACTCAGCCCTGAGTTGGAACCTTGGCTTTGCCATTTTTGCCTGTGTGACCTGGAATGATTTACTTACCATCTCTGAGCCTCAGTTTCCTCAAGTGTGAATGGAGGTTGAGGATGCCATTTCCTCCCTCAAATAGCTTAGGGTTTAGATGGCTTAGGACAAAATGAGCCATTATTTAACACCAACAGAAGAGCGCTTTATTTGGGTAGCCTGTGGATAAGGGGGGAAGAGCAACTAAGGTAAGAAGAAATGGAGAGTGACCTTTTCACCTGAGAGTGTCCCACCCTGTTCTACAGCCTCTGACATCGATGAGTCATCAGTGATGCAGCTGGCCGAGATGGGCTTCCCTCTGGAAGCGTGTCGGAAGGCTGTGTACTTCACGGGAAACATGGGAGCCGAGGTGGCCTTCAACTGGATCATTGTTCACATGGAAGAGCCAGGTAGGTGGTGGGACTGTGGAATGGCTTTGGAGTCTGATGCTTGGTAATGCTAAGCCTTGGTTCTTCTCTGTCTCCTTTGGATATGTCCCCAGGAAAATAACATTTCAGCTCATAATCTGCTATAATAGTACACAAAGTCACAATCTTTGTCTTTATTTCTCTTCTTTTAAATAACAGCTTTATTGAGGCATACTTTGTCCCTTTATTCATTTATTTTAATTTGCAGTAGCAAAATGATCGTTAGATAGATGTAGGCTATACATCTCTCTCTCTCTCTCTTTTTTTTTTTAACTGGGGTTTGAACTCAGGGGTGTGTCACCACTGAGCCATGCAACTCAGTAAAACAGGATCTCACTGAGTTGCATAGGGCCTTGATAAGTTGCTGAGGCTGGCTTTGAACTCACAATCCTTCTGCCTTAGCTTCCTGAGCTGCTGGGATTACAAGCATGTGCCACTGCGCCCAGCTGTGGGATATACTTCTAATGAAGAGACGATGAAATTTCAAATGGAAACATCTGTGTAAAGGAACAGAGACCCTTTAGTTAGCCTTTCTTTTATCTACTCTATTAAGATATAATTCTCATGTCTATCCATTTAAAGTCTCCATTCTGAGGGTTTTTAATAAATTCAGTTATGCAGCCATTCTCACTACCTAATTTTAGAACACTTTTGTCTACCCAGGAGAAATCCTGTCCACATTAGCAATCCTTCTTCAGCTCTTCCCTGACCCTGGTGACCTGAGTCTACTTTTTGGAACTATGAATTTTCCTCTTTTGGACATTTCATCTAAATAGAATCATATGAGAGCATCATGTTTTCAAGGTTCATGTGTTGTCAGCATAAATCAGTTCTTCATTCCTTTTTAGGCCAAATAATATTCTGTTGTACAGACATACCTTATTTTATTTATCCTTTCATCAGTTGATGGACAATTGGTTTCTTCCCACTTTTTATCTTTTATTAAGAATGCTGCTGTAAACGTTGTGTACTACATGTTTTCTTTTTGTGTGTGAATAGATGCTTTCATTCTCCTGAGAGGAATTGCAGTCATGTGGTCACTCCATGTTTAACTTTTTGAGGAACTGCAAAACAGTTTTACACAGTGGCCGAACCATTTTACATTCCCTTTTCTTCTAAAAGTTCTATAGCTGTAGGCTCTATATTTGGGTCAGAGATGCATTTTGAGCTAATTTTGCTCATATATGAGGTAGGGGTCTGACATCATCATTTTGTATGTGGTTAGCCAGTTGTTCCAGCATCCTATGTTGAAGAGACTGGCCTTTCCCACTGAATAGTCTCATTGAAAATCAGTTCACCGTAGATAGATGGGATTATTTCTAAATTCTCAATTTTGTACAGTTGATCTATATGTCTTTCCTGATACCAGTCCCAGACTGACTTGATATTGTTAATGTTGTAAGTATTTTTCCTTCTTAGCTCTAAAATGTTGCTTATTTCAAGACAAAAATATAAAATAAATGAAAGAGGCTGAGTGTGATCATTTTCTCATTTTCCTCAGATTTTGCTGAACCGCTGACCATCCCTGGTTATGGAGGAGCAGCATCTGCTGGAGCCTCTGTATTTGGTGCTACTGGATTGGACAATCAACCTCCAGAGGAGATTGTAGCTATCATCACCTCCATGGGATTCCAGCGAAATCAGGCTGTGCAGGCGCTACGAGCAACGGTGAGCATCAGGGACTGGGTGTGTGGACAACCCCCTCTTATTGGAAGTGGTTTGTATTTCTTTCAGAGCAGATGAGACTTTGCAATGTTCTGTGGTCATTTTAAATCACGTTTATCTGTTTCCCACCTTGGCCCATAAAAACTGGCAAGCATATAGTATATGTAAAGTTTATCTAAATGATTGAAGAAATCATGCACTGGATTTAAGAATAAAGAGATTATAAATCTGGAGCAAGATGACCACACTGCAAGAAACTCCATATTATCTTGGGTTTTTGTTAGTGGGGAACACAGATTTTACCTGGAGCTTGCTGTGGCAAGAGGGATGCATGAGATTCCATGTTCAATAAGAAAGTTCTTTTTTTTTTTAAATTTGTTTTAATTAGTTACACATGACAGATGACAGTACAATGATCTTGACATATCATACATTTGAATCAGATGTATAAGAAAGTTCTTTAGGTGAAAATGATGCTTTTCTGATATCGAGACCTTGGAGAAATGTCTCTTGAAAGCCCCCAAGAAAGACAGAATGGCACCTTAGAATTCTCTGCTGCTGTTTTTCTTTTTTTTAAAAGAGAGGTTCTTCCAGTACTTAGGAATGTCCTGATATTATCGGGAAAGAAGGGACCGTGAAACTGGAGCATGGATAGAAATCTTCCTTTTGCAATATGATATCTATTTAATATTCAGGGAAAGTACTTTTTTTTTTTTTAAACCCGCCCTTTCTTGCCACATCTTGGTCCATTTTTGAGTGGATGTCTGTCACCCATTCCTCCATGCCTATCCTGACTGGGATACTACCTTGTAGTATCTGTTGCAGAAGCTACATTGGCTCTTGACTGGCTCATTCTTGGTGGCTGGAATGATGAGTCTTTGTAAAATGCTCAAAATATCTCAACTGGAGTTTCTCACTTAGGGTACTTTCTTGTGCCCACTAATTTTATTTGCTAGAGGGTTTCCTTGGAGTTTCTATGTCTAAACAAGTTCTTTAACCTGCTAGTGGGATCACAAATAGGGGAAGACAGAAATGCTTTCATGTTGAATTGATTTGAGCTGCATGGAGGTCAGTTTAAAACAATAACTCATTAACCAAAGAATTAGTTGTCTCTACTGCAGCTCAACCATTCTCCCAACATTTGGGGAGAGGAGACATAAAATAGTACAGAGGTGGGTCCCCTGCTATCTTGTAGAATCATCTGCAGAAAATGCAGTTGCTAGGGCAGGTAGTGTGTGCTGTCTCTGCGGCTGTAGAAAGGGCTGCACTTGACTGCCATCCCTTTGAGTATCCTGCACCATCATGATCAGCATCTCCTTGCAGAAATGCTAATCCAAGACTGACAGGGGCTTTGGAATGCTGATGGGCTGCTTAGAACTGGTTCCCAGTGAATACAGTCACAAGCCTGGGTCAGGAGACTTGCAGAATGCCTGCATATCATATGCAGAGTAAGAGCTTCTTGCTCAGAGGCACTTAGGACTAATGAATTCAGGCTTCTTGCCCTATCTACTAGTCATCTGGTTCAAACGGTCAAGATTTAATGAGGCCCAGGGACTGCATGCATCATAAAAATGTTTTATTTTATTAGAATAATAACCTGGAAAGAGCACTGGACTGGATCTTTAGCCACCCTGAGTTCGAAGAAGACAGTGACTTTGTGATTGAGATGGAGAATAATGCCAATGCAAACATTATTTCTGAGGCCAAACCTGAAGGACCTAGAGTCAAGGATGGATCTGGAAGTAAGTTCTTGCCCTAAACATTGTCTCAGCAGTCATGACTGAACATTCAACTCTTCCTCTTCCCCTCACCAATACATATCCCAACCTTTTGCATCATTTGAAGTTAGTGTGGATCCATCTCCTAAATGGTGCATTCTGCCACTTTGCATAGAACCCAGGTCTGATAAAGTCTAGGTTAATTCAGAGTCATGTCACCTAGTAGTGTGTGTGTGTGTGTGTTTGTGTGTGTGTTTCATGCCAGTTTTGACTTTGTTCCTTTGAAGTTGATTTTTTCATGGACCATGGGAGCTTTTGTCAAAAAGAGAGCATTTATTTTCATGGTGCTGTGTTTTGAACAGTAGAAAAGCAGTCTCAAATCCTTGACTGTATCATTGCCAGCTGCTGAGAATTTTCTGCAGGGCTATCTCCGTTGACATAGGCCTTTTATAAGCAGATGCTGACATATGTCCCTGTGTGCCCAGATCTGTTAACACACTGTGCATTTGAACATTCGTTTAATCATCACTACAACCCATTTTAACAGGCGAGAAAGTGGAGGCTTGGAGAGATTAGGTACTTTGTCTAAGGTCACACAGCTCTTAAGAGGTAGAGGCAAGATTCAGATGCAGAATCCATGCTCTTAACTATTATGACATCCTGCCTCTTGGGCTGTCGTTGCCTACAGGGTGATGTTTAGCTCTGTAGTCTGGCTTCCCCAGCCCTCCTCGGATCCCAGCCTCCCTTGCTCTGTGTTTGTTAGTTCCTCTGCACCTCCTGTACCTGCAGCTTGGATGCCTGGTACTGTGTCTTCACCACGAGTATACTCAGCTTGTCACCCACTTTCTTTTTGCCTCCCTCCAAGCCTTGCTAGGTTAATCTCTATTTGTCAGATACCCTTCTTTTTCTCTGTCACACAGAAAAATCTTTATTGTTCTTTAGAACTTGGCTGCAGATTTCATTTCTCTGTTCTGCTTCTCAGATCCTTATTATGCTCATAATCAGCCCCTATGTATTACATATTCTAGTAATAGTTACAATAATATTGATAATGCTTTCATTTGTGCCTCATTCTTCCAGTAGCCCTAGGAGATAGATACCATTACTATTCCCATTATACAGGTGGAGTAACTGAGGTAGAGAAGGGTATGTAGTTTTTTGAGTCTGCATAGACAGTGATAGGTAGAACCAGAATAACAACCCAGGCAGTCTGCATCCACAGCCAGTGCCTATAGTCACTACAGTGTATTTGTTCTTCTCTTTATAGAGGCATCACATTAATCTTGCCTTAAGATTATTTTTGTAGCTCTCTGTGTCTCCCTTTTCACTGGGAGCTTAGACAGGACATAGGCCATTTTATGAAATGGATGGTGTCTGATAGAAAGCACCCAGTAAAGAAAAGTCAGATTTAACTAAATCTATATTTCTAGCATTCAATCCCGCGAGTTGTGGGTCTACTCACTACTGCTCTCACCAGACTTAACCTGTATGTGTTGATCTAGAGTGGATCTAGAGGTGGATGGGAAATGTTCTTCTTTTAAAATGCAAAACAAAAATGTATTCACCGAAACTGTTATAATCCCAACCTGGTAAGGAAAGGGTAAGATGTAGTTCTCCCAACTCTCATGTTCATCTAAAGGGTCTGGCATCACTTTTCAGAAATCCCAAGTTTGCCTAAAATATTAGAAGCCCTAATGGACAAGTTGCTCAATAATTCACGAGCAGGGTTCATTGCATGTTCCCAGTGCATCGGTTCACTGCTTCTTCAACTTGCTGCTATAGACTTTTTTTTTTTTTTTTTTTGAGATGATGAGTCCTTCCCAGAGAAGGAGTAAACTTCTATAAGTAAAGATGGGGCATTTGGCTGCAGGGGGAGATCTGATCACTGGGTTTCCTTTTTTTTCTGATGGAGTTTGAGGCACTGATCACTTTCTCATATGGCTCTTTGCTAAAGGACAGCCGTGTCACCTTCTCAGAACATACTGAAACTCGGAGCCAGTCTGAGGTAGCCCTGGTCCTGCTGGGTTTCAAGATGCCTCCTCAAATAGGTTGCTACGGTGATGCAAAAGTACCCCTTAAGGCACTATGGGTCAGACTAGTGGGTGGTGCCTGAGGAAGGGGGAGGTGCACTGTGAGATGAGCTGTGAGAATCCATAGACAGGATATAAAGGCAGTAATAGGTGAACAATTTAATTATGAAAAAATAAAAAAGGCAGAGCCCACCCTAACTTGTCAAATGCATCGCGAGTCTGATTTTGCACAAAAACAAATGTTTTTTACTGTAGCTTCCTAGTACTGGGCCTAGCCCACGGTAAGGGACCAGTAAATAACTGATTGAAGGAAGAGTTAAATGAATGCCTGGAAGTAGAGGTCTCGGTGTTTCTCTGCCTGCCTCAGTACTGCCGAGGAACTGTCAGCGTACCATTGTGTTAAGTCACGTGAATCGAAGAAAAGAAGAAATTTGACTTCCTGTACTTTGTTGCAGTAGCATCTGAACTTGTATGTCACTCATTGCTTTCTTTTTCCTTTTTTAAAAAATTAGGCCAGGGGTGTAGCTCAGTGACCCAGTTCTTGCCTAGCATGTGCAAGGGCCTAGGTTTGACCCTCAATACTGAAAATAAATTTACATTGTTTATTTTTCTTATGATTAAAAAGATGTATATTTATTTTAGCAAGTTGAGAAAATATAGGTATATGAAAGAGGAAACTAAAAAAGATAATCCTACAATCTGGCAACCATCACTGATAGAATTTTATGTATGTTCTTTAGACCTTTCAATGCATTCAAATGTATGAAAATCAATGTACATATATAAATTTTTTAAAATGTAATATTTTATTTATACATTCTATTTTAGACCCCTAATGGTGGCTCTACATATACATTTATCTATATCATTGAACACGTGTTAATGATGTTCTATTATATATATGTCCCATAATTTATATGCCTAATTTTAAGCCATTTAGATGTTTAAATGCAAGATTGTTACAGGAGGACTTTCAAATAATGGAAATGTTTTTATATTCAGATGATAGCAGTGAATTTTAAATAAAGATTAAAAAAATTTTTTTTTTTGTTATAGATGGACACAATACCTTTATTTGTTTATTCATTTTTTATGTGGTGCTGAGGATCGAACTCAGGGCCTCATATGTGCTAGGCAAGTGCTCTACCACTGAGCCACAATCCCAGCCCCAAATAATGAATTTTTTAAAGGATGGATTCAGTTTATAGAACTCCAACAAATGCTGGACTTAATCCCTATCTAGGGAATAAATATTTGTTCAACATTTAACTTTCTTCCTTCTTTTGTTAAAAATAATGTTGTAATAACAGTATTGGGCCCTCATTTCATTATTTCTTTAGGGAAGTTTCTTTCTTTCTTTTTTTTGGGTACCGGGGATTGAACTCTACCCTCGAGCCACATCCCCAGCCCTATTTTGTATTTTGTTTAGAGACAGGGTCTCCCTGAGTTGCTTAGCACCTTGCTTTTGCTGAGGCTGGCTTTGAACTCTTGATCCTCCTGTCTCAGCCTCCCGAGCTTCTGGGCTTACAGGCATGCACCACTACGCCTAGCCCTTTTTATTTTTTAATTTTAAAACAGAGTTGTGTTAAGTTGCTTAGTGCATCACTAAGTTGCTGAGGCTGCTTTGAACTTGTGATCCTTCTGCTTCAGCCTCCTGAGTTGCTAGGATTACAGGCTTGTGCTACTGCGCCCAGCTCTTTAGGGGAAGTTTCTGAGGAGAAGTTTTTGAGTGAGAAATGCAGATTTTTAAGACAGTGCAGTTGACCCTCACGTGACCCTCTGGAAGCACAGTGCTGGCCAATGCTGGCTGTGTTGGTGACTCTCCCCCCCAGCCTCCCCTGCGGTGCTGTCTGGTTGAGCATTTCATTTCTTTATTGCTTCATTGGTTTCCTCCTGTGTTAATGGCTTCCTCACTTCCATTGGCTATTTTCCCATTTTTATTGAGGTTTTCAGGTATTTTTTAAAAATTGATTTGTAAGAGAGCATCCTGAGTTGTAGATTAGCTTGGGAAAGCCTCAGAGCTTTACAACATTGATTTTTTTCCAGCCAGGAACATGTCATGTTTCCCCATCTCCTCCCACTCCACCAAAGCTGTGTGTTTCTCTGTGCATTTTTTTTCCGTTACCCCCTTATTTCACGTGAGTCATGGCATTTCGTGTTTTCTAGTGGGATGGAGGTGAAAGTCTGTTTGTCAAAAAACTGTTTATTGTGTTGTCCTACACATTTGAGGCCTAGCACCTAACTTTCTGTTGAGTTTAAAAATTTTTCAACAGTGAGAAACCAGTCCTTCACTCTGACCTATTTGGGCTTCTACTGTTTGCAAAATCATTTGTGTTTCCCATTGTACTTAATGAGTGTCTAATTTTTTTTTTTTTAAGAACTCACTGATTGCCTATGTAATTAACATGTGATTAGGCTGTGAGGCTCTGATTACTCAAAACCTGATCTGACTCCTTCAGGCTCATCCCTATTACGGTTCACAAATCATCAGTGGCAGCTGAGATTTCCCAGCCAGGGTCAGAGTGACCATTTGCTTGGTGGTGGGCTCCAGCATGGAATGCCACCAGGAGGAGCCGAGACCCAATGGTCTACCTGAAGCCTCTGAAAACTTCTTCCTACCTGGGCTCTCATTCTCATTCCACTTCAGCACCTGTTTCAATTCCCACTTTTTATTTGTTATTGAAAGTCAAGAAGGAGCCGCTCTGTGGAGTAACCTAATTTCTACGAAAGTATGAGAACACTATTAAATTTGGAGAGAAGTATTTGATATTTGGAGTTCTAGGCCGTATAACAAAGAGATTGGTAATTTTGAGCTGACTGGGGATGGGAAGGCAATCTGTAGACTCTTTAATATCCTATCCTTGTTGACAGCCGCCTTTAAGTTGTTATGATTTATCCAGAAGCTTCTTTTCATTTATTTATTTATTTTTTGGAGAATTCAGAAGTTTGGGTGAAAGCTCCAAATTACCCTCCCTCCCTGTTTTTTTTTTTTTT